GCTTCTGTTCTATAAGACTTTCAAGAAATTTTATTGGAGTTCAAGATTAACATGAAAAATAATTAATTTATAAATTTTAAATGCTTCCAATATTTCACTATGTACTTACTCATACTTTTATTTAGCATTAAGTTAGCGTGAACATAAGCACTATGTATTTGGTACAAAACAATAACTGATCTCACCATATAATTAGCATGCACGCAAATGCCCTTTACAAAGAATTTGACGTCAATGTATTTATTAACATTTATTAAAAAATCGTATTAATATTTTTGGGTTGAAAATCATACAAATATGTTATATTTGACTTTGTTTTCATGGTGAAAATCAAATATGTACTTTTCCCATTTTTTAATATACAAAAATATCTGTTATTACTAAGAGTTTATATTTCCTTTTTTATCATTATCTTTTGAACTATCTTAGTCCATCTATTTTAAATGTACTTCCTATAAATTAAACCTAATTCTTTTTAAATTTGGAATATATATCAATCAAAAAATATAAAAAGCATGAATCAAGTTACATAAATGTATATCTGTAGATTGCAAAATGTTTCACGGAAATTAAATATTTATTCATTTTGTTTATGTTTTCTTTCTATAAAAATTACAAGGAACTTAAATTTATTGTAATTATTTAGTGTACTGTCAAAAATATAAAAACAATAGTAGATATTTATTGAATCTTTAAATGTATTTTATTATTTCTAGGTGTAATATCTAACTACACTCGAAGATATTGTTTAATTCATGCTACATTTTAGAGTACCAATGCATACTGCAATTTCATAACGTTTCTGTATCTTGAAAATATTTGTAAAATGGTTGATATTAAATAGTGAAAAATCTTCATTGTGTACCATGTACCATTATCTGTTTAATAGGAATATTTATTAAAATAAAAATTATAACATGGTATCATACATGATTTATGCAGCATCAGTGCTGGATTAATCTAAAGTATGTTTATCTTAAAGTAACATAATTTTTTTCGGATACTAATAAACCTAATATGCATACGTACATGTAACTATGCAAAGTAAAGGTATGAAAAGTTTCCATGTTATTCTCAAAACTGTTAAATCATATAGTCATACAAAATGACGAGCATTTATATCGAATATGAAGAGCCACTAATTTTATTATGTCATAAAAAAAATTCTCTGAGAAATATAAAATTAACAAATATAAAACTATCTTTTATATATTAAATTTAATTATCCAAAATTAATGAATGAAATTTTCTAATTTCAATTACTATATTAATTCTTATCACATAATTTGTTTAATCTTGCCAAATATCATAAAAAACTAAATATTTTAGCATCGTTTGTTTAGAAAGAAGATTATAGTTTTATAATAATATTCAGTAAATATTGTCCATATCTTATTATTTGTTATAATTATAACTAAATTTGTTTTTTTTATTTTTCTATTGATTTAGATTATATCAATTAAATATATAATAAAACATAAAAATAATTAATTATAATTTTTCATGTTTTTTAGTGTTCTATTTTTTAAGTATGCTCTTCTTACTGCATTTCTATATAGTATAAATAGAACTATTACTTTGTATCATTTATGTAAGAACATTGTATAATACATCTCAATTTGAGTCCTTTTTTCTGTGATAATTGGATTCTATATTAGTGAAAAATGAATAAGAAAAATTATTCAGTAATATATCATTGAATTGTTCTTCTTTATGTTGAAATATCAGCTAATGAGAGATGTATGATATATGAAGCAAATATTGATAAATACAAAGTATATAATTTCTTTTTCACTTTTATGTAAAACTTGAAATATTTTAGAATAAATAAACTACAATTTATTAAACTAATAAACTACAATTTATAGTTTATAAAATATAGAGATATAATGCTTCCATTAAATATCATTTATTTGCCTAATGTTACATTACAAAATAGGAAAGTAATTTTACATTTTTTAATAATCCATATATTTTATTTTTTGTTATAATATTATATATATATATATATAATGCTTGTCATAAAATACTTTTATTTTACAGATCTTACTTATGTTTCTTCAGATTCAGATTTCTTTTTTCCCACAATTCCATGTTCCCGAAATTTAGCGCATAATAAATCTCCTTCAAATACCAAAAACGAGAGTATACACTTTGTGTAGTAGTCTGGCATTAATTCTAGGTTATTTATAACAGTGGATAAAAGATGTGCCCTGTCAACATGTACTCCTATTTTGAAAAAAAAACAAATAAATGTCATATAATGCATAGATTTTTTAATTTTTATATGATGTAAGCAATAATTGCAAAATTTATTAATTTTAAAGAAAAACATTCAACTAAAATATTTTATTTATATGATCTATTTTTGATATCTTGTGTTTTATATATATATATGTAGATTTAAATAGTAAACAAATATGATTATCTATTTACTTATTTTTTAACTAATTTAAAAGTATAAATTGTTAATATTTTCTTATTGCTATTTTTATTTTTCATTATATATACAAAAAATATAAAAGAATGAATTAGATGCTGATATATTTACCTGGAGTTTCAAACATGAGATAAGAAAAATGGACATGTAAATAATAATATGATGGTTGATAATGAAGATATATCCTAAGTTGGGACGCAGGTATATTGTACTTTTCAGATATACATGCTATTCCAGCATCTCGTATATTTCTCAATAGCGGAAGATGAGATGCATTTAATTCTCTCATAGATCTAACTTTCTGGAATGGAAGAGCTAATAGTTTAAGTGTTTGTGGTTGTCCATCCCACTTCAAGTCTGGTACCATTACAAAACCTGTTTCTTTATTTGTATCCTCATATACAATTTTATTTTGTTCAGCTTTATGGGCCAAAATATTATCTATCCACTAAAATTAGTAAAGATAAAGAATATAAATTTAAATATCATATCTTCATTCAATATGTTTTATTCAATTTGATTACTAAAATATTCCTTTTACTTTGAATATAATTATATCTTTTTTATAAACACACACACACAGACATGAATATATATAATTGTTTCATTAATGAAATTAATATATATATATACCTCTAAAGAAAATTGTTGTGATGTAATATGAGGTAAAGTAATTTTTTCATATAATTCATATGTCTCATTTACGATATGTAATTCCTTTTTTTTGAATTTCTCAATGTGTTTTGGTGTAGCAGGATGTATTAACAATACATTTAAACCTTAAAGTACAATATACAGTTAAGTATATTAGGCATTCATTATATATATAATAGAGTGTATATCAACTTACCATTATACTCTTTTATTGGAAAACACCTATAGTTTCCATAAATATGATTACTAAAAACTTTTTGAATAGTTGTGTCTTTATTAAAGAATCCTTGTTTCAAAAAAAGTTCGTCCGTCGGAAAAGTTGTCTTTTCTAATGAAAGAATAGCGGGACTTTCGCTACCTTTAAAAGTACCTTCAATATAAATTTGTTTTCTTGTATTATTATTTTGTAATATCCTTTTCATTTCAAAAGTAGATAAATTTATTTCGGCTTCATGCAAGCTATCATCATTTTTGGCGGTATTTTCGATTTCTATTTTAATTTTTTTCGCTGGAGGGCATTCTCCCTCATCGGCATCCACGCACTGATCCGCCATATTTATAAAATGTGTTCGATATACTTTACGTGATACAAAAGTTGTTTTATTTCACTACCTGTAATTTGAAACTAGTATACTTTGTCAAATTTGTTCACTTTGGTATGAATAGTATTTTAGATAACACTTAAAATACATCACAATTACCTTTAACAAGTATTTTACTGATTTTTATTTTTACACAGTAATCACAACATTAAGATAGTATAATATTGCACTTTGATATAACTAGATAGTACAATAATATTGCCTGCTTACATGCTAAATCACACGTCATGTATATGGCCAATCATTTTCACAGTATAACTCCTATATATAAGAAAGGACCAATCAAGAAAGAGATTAGTCAATATTTAATTCTATAATTATTGATGATATTTTAATGATTATTTTCATATTCATAATTTATCATAAGATATTCTTGCTCTTTTTAATGATATAATTGCATAGTAAAATATTTAATTGTTTCTAAATAACATTATGGATTGTTATTTTTTGTTATAATAGAAATTTGTCTTAATTAAAATATTTAATAGAATCATGTTCTTTTCATAAATGTTATATTTTTAAGTAGAAAATATAATAAATATTAATAATGAACAATAATAAATAAACAATACTTTTAAACGATTTTTTAAAACAATTGTTTTTAGATCATTAATATAAGCACTCGATTAAGATTAACATGTTTCCCTATAATTCAACAAAGGATCAAAGCGATTGTAAAAATATAAAAAGATAAAGTATTAATAAGAATCAGTAAAGGATATCAAATCTAGTAATTTTTCTTATTGTAATGTAATTTTCGAAACCAATAATCAAAGCTTAAACTATACTAATTTATTTTTATACAATAACATATAATTCGAAAGGAAATTGTATATTATTGAAATGTTAACAATTTAAAGCTATTGTAATATTTCGTAAGGAATAAAAAACTTTATGATAAAACCATTATTTTCATTGCAAGAATATTAAAACGCATAAATTATACATTTTTATATTTTATTTGATATATTTTCATTAAAGAATTTAGTTTATATTAATACGTTAAATCAAAAACCCAAATAATTACATTTGTTCCGAAATATAAATAAAAATTATGCTTTGTGTCACGAAATTTGGGCTAATATTTATTAATGGTATTACAGTAACCACGTTTGAATCAAATTAAAACTAAAAAGTGTATAGTGAATAAACATTTGTTTTTTTGAAAAATAATTTTTGTTAAATAAAATATTACGCTTTAATATAGAGGTAACATTTATTTCTTTAAACAATCAATGTATTTATAATCTTATATACATATATATGTACATATATATGTTGTACGTATACATATATACATACAAATAAAAATGTCATCTATACATCGTAGATATACAGTTCTAAAAATTTGGTGACATTGATTCAGATTCAGAAGAGAAGATCGTTGTTCGCTGACCTTGTCAAATTATTGAAGAATAAAGTATTTTATGCAAGGTGTAAGAAATTAATTAAAAAATGCTACAAGTCGATGATAAAAAGGTAAGTCAGTATTACAATCTATACAATTATTTGACCTTGAGTTGTGAAATCATTTTATATATTACTCAAATCACATTTATATATTTAAAGTTTCTTAAATTGAATGTTTTAACAATATTTTTTGATGTTTTTTCTTTATAATGCGATATTTATCTAATTTGAAAGCCACATAAAATTTAGAGGTTATCTACGTTGTAATTCTATTTCAAGTTATTCAAAAAATCCACATTTTATATTCATACTATTTAACTATTTCAATCAAAGCAAATAAAATTATAGCCGTACAAATATTTATATGTTATAAATATTTTTATTGTAGCTAAAAAAATTTCTTAATGTCATTTGCAAAATGACACTATAAATTAAGAATCATATTATCATCAAGAATAAATGATTACTTCAGTTATTGCTACATTAAAATTTATAGGTTATATAATATAGATAGATTATGTAATAAGTGCTGTATAAATACAAGAAGATGATAAGCTCGAGAAGATACATTAGTTTACTCTTATTGTAGAAAATTTTTAGTTATATACCATAATAAATTCTGCATATAATTTATTCTATATAATATATGCATTGTTATTACGTGTTCACATTCTATATCAATTTGATAAAATACAAAAAACTTATGCATTTATGTATATATATCAATGATAGGGAAATAAATAATTTTATTATCTATATTAATGATAAGCATAAAAAAGAAAATGCAAAGAACAAGAGCAAAGTTTAAATAATTTAAATAATTTATACAATATAAAATCTTTGCATAATTTGAAGTTAGAAATAAATAATATAAATAGTAAATTATAAATGTATATACTGCTTGTTTCTCTAACTTAAGCCTTCAAAATATCTTTATTGCTTTAGATAATACTAAAAAAATATCAAAGGAGAAGAAATTGTTTGATCGAAAAAGATTAATATTCTTAATATCACAATTTTTTCAAAGTTATATTTAAGATTTTATAAATATTTTTAATTCACATAAAATTTATAAATATATATATTTTTTTAAAGAGATTGACATTTTTTCTTTGCCATAGTATTATGATTTATAAAAAGATAAATTTAATGACGTAAATTATTTGACATTCAGACGACCTTGAACAAAAAAGACTAATGGGAGAATAAAAAAAAATAAAAAGTCTAAAATCAAGTAGTAATACCAAATGTAGTTTTTCCTCTTCAAAGTCATTTGAAGGTCATCAAATTTATATACTTGAATTTGTCATTTGAATACACATATTTTTAACGACATGTGCTTGTATATATGTATTGTACATATACAAATACGTATATACGAAAACATTAATTTTTGTAAATATTTTTCACGTATTAATATTAGAAAAATTTGTTAGAATGAATTGAGACTATTCATGGAATATTATAACACGATGAATAAATGGGAGATTTATTAAATCGAGAAAGGAAGCAAGTAATCATCCGAGGAGTAATTAAAGAAAAGAATGCTTATCATACAAACGTAAGAGCTCGTAATCGTAAATATAAACATAAAAAAAAACATATGACGTATTTCAGACATACGACGTATCGTATTACTAAAAATTTTCCAAATTTAAAAGTAAAATTTAATGTTCACGAAAATAAATATACGAAGTTACGTCATTTCTATTGGTATTATTTTTTTTCTTTTTATGAGTAAAAATAATATATTTTTTCATTACTTGCAGTTATGTAAATTAACTAACCTTCAAAATAGATAAGTATTTTACTTCTAACGATGCCAATCGTTGTACCATGTATTAGTGTGCAAGTTTGTCATTTGCGGTTTTCATCTTATATGATGATAGGATAGAATAAAAAAGCTTTTTTTTTTTCTAATATTATACGTATAATACTTGGTTACACAGTGCTACATATAACTTTCTATGACTGATCTTTAGTACTATCATTCGATAAAATGGACATAATCTTTTTTTTTTTTACGTATTCACGTTCATTTTGTATTTGCGTCGGTATTACACTCAGCAAAGTTAATTTTTAAAGAAATCAATCTCATATTTAACGAGATATTTATTAAAATAGATAATTCAATGCGTAATTAATAATTCAAGTAATTGATAACAAATAAGATCAAAATTATTCTATCGGAATTTGCTTAATACGATATTATATATAAGCTCCAGTTAGTATAACAAAACAAAATTTATGAAAAAGATCAATGATATTGTATTCCGTTTTTTACTTTTATTATTTTTTTACACATAAATTTTCGCTAATTTAAGAATGTAAAAAAGCCATTTGTCAACAGTAATGCAGACAAACATATAAATATAAAGTAATGACACTGCAATAAGAATACTCGTGCAGTTTTGATAGAAAAGAGAAATGAAAGACATAATATATATGCTACCAATAAAAACAAAACAAAACAAAAAAAAATCATAATAAGCAAAAAATGTATTTATTATAAGAGAAAAAAAATTATGAAATAAAAAGAGGAAGGAGTGAGGGATCCACGGATCTTAGTTCAATTTTTGTAAGATAAGAGGATAGAAGAATCGTAGAAAATCAAGAAAAGATTCAAATGCTATTTGCGATAACCGATATCGCGGTTGAAGATAACTTATGAAGAAGGTCAACTGATTGGCTATAGCCGTTTGGTCCATACATTTCCTTTTTATTTTCGTTCTCAACCGATCTCGATAGAACTTGCTGTTGTTCCTTACTCTTCTCCCTTCCGAAGACGACGTGATAAGCGGTTGATTGGTACTCTTTCAGTTAACGCAACAACGTGTTGTCGTGCAGTCATAAATTAGCTCGTTAGAAGTACGTTTTGTCACGTGTCACTATCGTCCGTTCCTTCATGCATTCGCGCCGTGCGGAATAGTCTCCTACTTGTATCGTCGTGTCGTCGTTGCGTCACTGCAGTTCGTGAAGGCATTGAAAAAAAATAAAACTTTCTTTCGAATTGACGAGAAGAGCGTCAAAGAAGACGCGATGATTGAATACCTCTTACAAGTAAGTCTCAGGTTGAGACTACAAATTTTCATCATTTCATGACATTCATTGATATAATGCGTTACGAAAAATCGTTTATGTTATATTTATAAGAACACGATCGTTTGTAATGACTTTTATTATTATAGACTTTATGAGTTGACAATAATTTTTTTTGTTTTCAATTTTTTTTTTTTTTTTTTTTTTTTCCGTGCTGATATAAATATCCAAAGATGTGCATCATGATTTTTCCCCATGCTTTTTCTTTGAAAACAAATAAAGAAATATCAATTATTTTTTTTTTAAATGTATGCTTAAAATTTTCATTCTCATATGTTTTTCCGTAATAAAATCGCCTAACAATTCGTTAAAAGTTTCCCTTTTCTCGCAACATAATTTTTTTATATTGTATTTTTGTAGATATTGTATTTTTTCTTCTTTTTAACAACAGAATTACATACGCGCTTTTTGAATTTTCCTATTTTTAGAACATTATTCGCATTATCGCACGTTATCAAGATTATATCTCGATAAAAAAAAAGGCCAATTGTTTCATGTTTAAATTCAAATCGGTATTTGAAAAACGTTAATTGATTTGCTTGTTTGATAATTCCGTAATGTTAACTGAACAGATGAATGAACAGTAATAAGATGCCGCATATGACTGTGATAGAAATAAATTTTCATACATATATATCTCTAGTATATTTCGTACTAATTAACTTATCTATCGGTCTATTTATTATATCGTTACAATAATTTTAGAATAAAATCATGTGATGCTGTTTAATAAAATAATTAATAAATATAATGAAATTATATTAATTTTAATATTATAATGAAATTATATAAACGGTAAGGAATTATTCATATCTTAAGTTCATTAAAAAATTTTATAAAAAAATATTAACAGTCAAACGAATTTATGTTGTCAGTGTATGCATATAATTTTTATCACATACAATGAACTAATAGCATTAATATATAAAATATTTTTATTCTATTATATTCTATTGTGATCGAAATGTTTGCGATTGTTAAATACACGGTACAAGAAACATTAATCGTCTGATATTATATAATATAAATTGACGAGATACGCGAGGAAAATGATCATTGATCTTAAATATTTTATACATAAACAAAATGTCAAATACGTAATATTCAAATATAGTTTTATAATGTTGTGTAACTTTTTAAAATGGAATATTTGAATTATATACTTGTTTGAAATTATAAAATAAATGTTATATTTTGAGATAATTGAGCAAGTTGTATACATAATTATGTTGCACTTGCATAAAACTATTATTTTAATAAAAAGTTATCTATGTAGATCGAATAAAACGATAAGCTATATTCGCGCGCGCACACAGACATATACAGAGTACATTTAAAATATAGTAAAGATTTTTATGAATCAAGAATAGTCGGAAGCTAGGCATGTGAATATTTGAATGAAGAAACAAAATTATTTACTATGCTTATTTATAATGACATAGTTACGTACGCTTTTAATTTTAATGACATGCTATTATAAATGAAATATCTAATCGCAACACACTAAGAATTTTATCGAATTTTGAGAATAATTATACTAATTATTATTATTATTTTTTTTTTTTATATATATACATATAAGCTCCTTACGAACACAACTTATAACATTCGTACCACGTTATTTTTACAACGTATTTTTAAACGATCATCATGTGCGAGATTTCGTGTTTAAACCTTCTGTATAATAAGGAAGCTGAAATAGTTATTTATATGAAGACGAAAGGTAATATTAATTTGACTTTTTTTTATATGTTATGTAATTACGAAAAATAGGCACGTGGTCATCAACGTAGTCCTTCAGATACACAGGCATTTCGTCAACGAACAAAAAGAGATGCCGAGAATGAATTACAGCAGGAATTACAAAAATTAACGGGCACTGCTCCCGAAAATAGAAAAGAAGAATTTAGCAGGCAATTTGAAGGATTTGCGAATCTTTTTAAACGATTTTTAGAAGAAGAAGGACCATCGTTAGAATGGGATCGTATTCAAAAATTACCGGAAAATGCTGTATGTATCGTCGTAATTTTTATTTAGAATATTTTTCTCATATTAAAAATATCTAATTTAATATTTTAATTTGAATGTTTGATTATTTTTAGATACATAATTATAATAGCCTTTCTGATCCTAGCAATGAAGAAATCAAGGCTATGTTAAGTAAACTAATAGTTGTTAAATTGAATGGTGGATTAGGTACAAGTATGGGTTGTCATGGACCAAAATCAGTGATAGCAGTTCGCAATGGATTGACATTTCTTGATTTAACTGTTCAACAAATCGAGGTAGACAATAATTTTCTGATAATAATTATAATTTAATTTAACTTTTTTTCAATAATAAATATCTAATCTGAGGTTTTTTATATTTGAACAGTACTTAAATAGAACATATAATGCGAATGTGCCACTTGTTTTGATGAACTCCTTCAATACAGATGAGGATACCCAACGAATCATCAGAAAATATAAAGGAATAGATGTTGCTATTCATACTTTTAATCAAAGTTGCTATCCTCGCATTAATAGAGAATCGTTTCTTCCTCTTGCAAAACATTGCAATGTAAATCAAGATATGGAAGCGTATGATTTTATCTATTTATATATTTAATATATATATAAACACTATATATATTATATATTTTGTATAACTTATCTTTTAATTATGTTAGATACTAACAAATTTTATTTATAGTTGGTATCCACCTGGTCATGGAGATTTCTATGAAAGCTTTAAAAGTTCTGGTCTACTTAAAAGATTCATTAAGGAGGTATATTTGACTAAAATTTATTATACGTATATTATTATTTTTAATTTGTTTAATATTAATTACATTATTATTTGTGCAGGGTCGTGAATATTGCTTTATTTCGAATATTGATAATTTAGGTGCAACTGTAGATTTAAGAATTTTAAAGTTGCTACTAGATAAAGGGCATAGCTCCTCTCCTGAATTTGTTATGGAAGTAACAGATAAAACCAGAGCAGATGTTAAGGTAAGTTTTTTCTGGAATACAGTAATTAACAGTCTATTTATTTTTTGTAATATGCAGACTCCTCATTTTCATCAAATTTTTTTATAGGGTGGAACACTTATTCAATATGAAGATAAACTTCGACTTTTAGAAATTGCACAAGTTCCTAAAGATCATGTAGATGATTTTAAATCCGTGCAAACATTTAAATTTTTTAATACTAACAATCTTTGGGTTAAACTTGATGGTATATAATAGTTCATATGATAAAATGACTAAAATATCATCAATTCTTTTATATTTTCAATACATTTTTTATGTTTGCAGCTATCGAGAGAGTATTAGAAAATAGTTCGCTCAATATGGAAATTATTGTTAATAACAAAACACAACCTAATGGTTTAAATATTATTCAACTGGAAACAGCTGTGGGTGCTGCAATGAAATCTTTTGAGGGAAGTATTGGTAAGTACAAGAAAAAATGAATATACTACAAATATATTTATAATTATTTATAATTATAATCTAATGTCTTTCATAGGTATAAATGTACCACGTAGCAGATTTTTACCTGTTAAGAAAACATCTGATTTAATGCTTGTCATGAGTAATCTTTACATACTTCGTAATGGATCTTTAGTAATGAGTCCACAACGGATGTTTCCCACTACACCTCTTATAAAACTGGGTGATAATCATTTTTCGAAGGTACATTTATTTCATTCATTTTAGAATGGTTTAGATGTATTATAAATTAATTTTTAATAATTATCAAAGAAACATAAGATGTAACGTTATTCTATTTTCTCTATAGGTAAAAGAATTTCTTACCAGATTTCCAACAATACCAGATCTTTTGGAATTAGATCATTTAACAGTATCAGGTGACGTAACATTTGGTAAAGGTGTTTGCTTGAAAGGTACTGTCATCATTATCGCTAATCATGGAGAACGTATAGATCTTCCATCTGGAACTATCTTGGAGAATAAAATAGTATCTGGAAATTTACGTATATTAGATCATTAATACATATTCATATCAATCTTGATAGGCTTGCACAAACTGCAGAAGCACACATAATTGTAAATGCTTTTCATTATATTTTAGATGAATTTAACTAGTCAAATAAATTGTATATAGGGATATATCAAATGAGATTAGAAATTATAGAATCTAAATTGTATGTATGGCTGGCTGTAAAATATAGATGCAATAATGCAATGGTAAATTGTTTTTCAATTTTGTCATTAGCACAAGAATTGTTCATGCATTTTTAATATATCTTAAAGGTATGTTAAAACAATTGTTTAATGAAAAAATTCTTTTGTTAAGGATTATACTATTGATAAAAATATCTATTAACAATTAATTCATTTTATTTACAAAGATATAGTATAATAGCAATTAAAATATATAAAATAACATACAATGAGTCATACATTCTGTATTATATGTCTCATTCATTTATAATGCATTTGTATTGCTATTTTGTAATTAGTGTTGTTACAAAGTAAATTGTATTATTAATAATAACCAGTTTTTTCTTATTTAAATTTTTTGTATTTAAAGTTTGATTTATATATATTGTCAATTCTTGCAAATACTTTATTTTTCTTGAATGCAGAAAGTTATGACTAAAAAAAAAATTATTATTTAATAAAATAATAGACTGGATTAGAGATAATAATATTGATATTATACTACTGAAAAAAAGGTGTTCCGCTCAAGGATCTACAATCCTATGCGAGAGAAATTAAAATAATTAATTATAATAATCATTCTAACTATTTTCTAACCTAAGCAGTTTGAAAAGAGAAAGGCTCGATGTTACCTCCTCGAAAGATAAAAGAAGACTGAATCGAAATAGGTCAAAGTCATTTCAAAACGTTCGTTTATTTTTGTTAATATTAAATGTTATCGACCTAAAGATCAAAATTTAATTCTATTGAAATAATAAATTGAAATCATTTTATATTTAATACGTCTTACGTGCTATGTAATGTTTAAATAACTAAATATTAAGTTATTGTACTCCGTATGTCATACATGGTTTAAACAACAATTATAAAATTATCAGAAATATTAATTCTTTAATCTAAGACGTTTGAAAAAAGAAAACTTCGATGTTTATTATCGAAAGACATCATTCTTTGAAAATTCGCGCGAATACAATCACGCAAGATGACACTGAAAAGAAAGAAGAGAACAAAAATATTTGAGACATTAACGATTAAATTGCATATATTGTATTTTGTTCTTATAAATATATTCTTTCTTTTTTATTTATTATTATAAATCACCATTATCATATATAATATAAAATGTACATAATTTATATAATATTTAAGTATGTACATATGTATTTCTTTTTTTTACTTCTTCTTATCATTATTGTTATTATTATATTTTGATGTTATATATTATTATAGTAATAATAGTAATAGTAATAGTTATAAAATGGACTACTCCTACTTCTTAGTGGATTACACTGAGAGTTCTACCTCAGATAGTATGGAAACAAACTCATTTTGATTTTTGTAAAAATAATATATAATATATACATGCAAAAAAAATAAATTACTTGTTTATATTCGTTTACATCGAAAAATAAAATTTAAAAAATAAGAAAAAATCTAAATGCTTACTTAATTTTTATGAGTGATATTTTTAATACTTTAAATAGTAGAAACTTCCTGGAAAAATTTTTCTAAACCAAGTTTACAGCAGTACTTTCTCTATACATTTTTATACACAAATCATTCTTCGATAATATTGGCTCCACTGCATCCAGGTAGGGCGTGTTTATATGTATATATTCTGATTTCTATCTATAGGACAAATTCTCCAGTCTCTACTAATTTGAGGTTAATTTTTTGAAACGATCGCTTGAGAGTTGTTGAGAGTTGTTCGTTTTAGAATTTTCTAGTGATGTGATTCCCATATGTTCATTTTAATATGAATTCGTTTTAAATATATTTGCAAAATATATCCATAAACTTTTTCGAACATTCTATCGACAAATTTATTTATGATTTGATGATTCTTTTTAAGATTAATTTGATTAATGTGGCTTGAATAAAAGATTAATATCTTTTATTCAAGCCACTAGGTTGATGGTTCAAATTTCGAATTTATAGATTGATTGGTCAGTATTAGTCAGTGCCGAGAACCAATCAATGATCTCAAAATAAAGTACATTAACACATTAAAAACATTAAATAATTTATATCGTCATACGTGATATTACGGAAATTAATAAGCAATTGTCAAGTGGAATAAGAAGTAGGTACACGATATGTAATATAAACTTGTGATAGAATTTTTATGATAAAAAGAATTTTTTTACCGATTAACCGTGATATAGTGATTATGGATATTTTGCTATCTTTGTTTTACTTTATTTAATTTTATATGATTCATATCGAAATTAAAGAACATGTGAATAAAACGTTTACGCTTATATTAATAATAATAAGCTTTACGATTATTAAATGTTAATCAAGAGTTCGATTTTTATATACTAATTATATTGCAACACAGACCGTTAAACCATAGTAATGGTGCAAGGACACATATCAAAGATTCAATATCGAGCAGTTGATGATGAATTCTAAACAAAATACAGGAAAAATAACATTGGGTATGATTAAAGGTAAAAATATTATTTTGAAATATTGTACAAACTTAATAAATCATTGGTTATCAATTATTTCTGATGAGTTGTTTTCAAATATCTTTGTATTCTCCATATTGTACATGGAAAACAAGGTTTTTATAAATAAACAAATAATAATATAAATTTAATACATTTAATTAGTCAATGTTTTCTTAAAAAAAAAAAAAAGAAAAACAAAAAAAAAAAATCAATATTTTTTATTTTATATATTTCAGTAAATATCACAATTGTCATGTCTAAATTAAACGTATATTCTCTTATAAAGGTAAATCATTTACGACGTCTGTTCCAATAATACATTATCATGCTAGTGATGATGAATTGGAGGAGCTATATCTTAGTACAGATGAAGAAAAACAACAAGATTTGGAATATGAAGAAGTTCCATCTCAATTATCCTTATCACCATCAAAACTTCCAGACAAAAAGACGGATAAAGAGAAAATGGAAAATAAGTTAGAGCAAAGGTCATCTAGTATTGATGGAAATCTATCTGAAGGGACATCTCAATCTTCAGATCCTTGGAAAGTATTATCGGACATTAGAGGAAAAATTACGAAAACATTTGAAGAAAAAATTCATGAAATTAAAAGTGAACACAAAAAGGCATATAGACATAGTAAGGAAAATTCAAGTATTAGTGATTCAGAAGATTTAATAGATGTAATACCAATCGAAAAAAGTATTTCTGATAAGCAAGAAAAAGAAGAAGGATTAACACTTGCTGACATTAAAGAAGATAGTAGCAGATTTATAGGTTTCTCTAATATAAAAGTTGGTATAAAAACAAAAAATTCAGAAGAAGATAGTATTGAAAGTGGAGTAGAAGCTGCTGAATTGAACGAAAGTTTTCCTAATGGAACAGATGACAAAATGCAGAGTAATCCATCAGATACTAAATGTATTGATATAAAAAATAATGATAAAAAACTGCATGATATATTCAACCAATCATTATTACACACAATCCTGTTTTCACCTAGGACAGAACCTAAACCAACATTCGCATGGCTTAAAAATGAATTACTCCATCAGTTGTTTCATCGAATATTTGTTTTCATTATGATAATCGCTTGTTCTTACTACCTTGTTCCATTTCCGGAATATATTCTTGGCTTTGTTGGTGGTGTGCTCGCGTCTGTTACAGTATATGATACAGTAGCAAGCATAAAAAGAATATTAACAACTGTACCTGAAAATGATGATATATCAAAACATAAGGTTTCAGTCGTAGAAATACCTGCAGTAGAGGAGCACGCAGTTTTAGAGAGATTTGAGGGATGGCTAAATGAGTTACCATACATATATGACCCACAAAATTATCATGTGGCACGCACAAAGTCTGTTTATTTCAGACTAGAAGGTGAAACGTTGCGCATAATGGAAACGAGAATGAGAATACCAAAAAGGGCTGTTTGGGATGAACCAAAGCACAAACTCAAGTTCACTCGGAGAAGAACTTATAACCTGGCTGGTGCAAAGATAGAATTACTTCCTGAAGGTCTTATTAGAAGAAGGTATACTGGTGACTTGTACTTCACATTTAATAGAGTATTGATATGTATCGGACTATACATGGTACTGAAAGTTGGTCAAGTGAATAAGTAATTGATATTCCTACGACCTATTTAGAACACCTTTTTCCAATTGGTAATTACTTCGTAGTTACAGGCAGTAGTGATAAAAACAGTCCAAATTATTCATATTTACGATTATTCTTTTTTTGTCCTTAGTTGGAAAAACATAAAAAAATTTGCTATTCCAGGAAAAATGTCTTTAAATATAACCATTTTATTATACAGGAGATGGAGCAAAAAGTATCCAATTTGTATTACAATAGAAAAAGGAGCCCTAATTGAAAATGTTGCCTTGAAAGACTGTCATAACAAAGAAACTAATACTATTAAACATAGCAAAAAAATTATAGAAGAAGATACAGAAAATCAGCTAGATAAAAAGAAAGACAAAGATGAGGATGATAAACAAATAGAACAAGAGGCTGAAGATGAAATAGATGACGAAGATGATGGAGACGAAACTGACGAAGATTCTACACATACACGGACTCTAAGAAACTCTTTTATAGATGATCAAAATGATATATGCAAACTATTTATTTTTGCAAGAGCTGATCGTCAAAAAGAAGATTGGTAATAAAATCATTTTTACAATAATATTACATAATTGTATTCATATTTTCATTCTGTACTATTAATTATAGGTATAGACGTTTGATCATTGCAGCAAGTTGTAAAAAAAGAAATTCTATCCCAACAATGAATGATAATTTAAATCAGTCACTGTCACAACAAACGATTAATGAATCGAAAGTTCCAACATCGCCCAGTCCTGCTTTTGACCGTCCTCCAGAACTCAATTACAATGCATATATGACTCAATACCTTGATGTAGGTACAAAGAAATATGTTGCACATGAAACAAATTATTATACATGCTTTTAAGGCAAACAATTTACAATAATTTATTATTTTAGACTGTTTCGACAACTCCGACTACTGAAATCGATCCTCCTCTTTCCATGTATGATATAACATGGCTTAACTGTTTATTGGGTCGTATATTGTTCGATATGCACAAATGTTCTGAAACTATAAATCTGATTCAAGACAAAATTCAACGAAAACTTTCTAATATAAAATTACCGTATTTTATGGAGAGTTTATTAATATCAGATATGCTCATAGGTCAGAGAGCACCATTTATCCAAGACACATCAAAACCAATAATAGATGAACGAGGGCTTTGGATCGATTTAAATGTATTATATAAAGGATGCTTAACTATGACTATCGAAACAAAATTAAATCTTATGAAATTGACCAGAGCTGGTTCTATGTCCAGTAATTCTAGTGATGTGATAGCTGGAGAAAAATCAAAGACAATCAGATCACCTATGTTTGACAGTGATGTAGAAGATAGTCCAGAAACTTCAACCGAAGATGATGATAAATCTAATATGACAATGTGTACAACATCAAAAGATACACCGTAAATTTCTTTTCTCAATTGATAACTTACTTTCTTACCAAATATATGTATTTACTTTGAAAGTTTACTTTTTTGCAGCTCCACTCAGTCTTCAGGGAAAAAGTTCCTTAGTATGGTAGATAGATTGGCTGCAAGTAAATACTTTCAGCATGTAAGTATATTTCTGACAAATATATTTTAACAATAGAAACAACATTATTATAAACTAAAGTAAATGATAAAGAACAAAAAATTGAAATCAGTGGATGTATAACTTGTTTTTTAGGCGACCGAATTATCTTATGTGCGAAAGGCAATGGAAGGTGTTTCTAACACCGAAATTCGATTAACAGTCAGTGTTTCTGGTATAGAAGGTTGCTTATCTATAAACATTCCACCACCACCGTCTGATCGGCTTTGGTATGGTTTTAAGCCAACACCAAGAATTTCGATTACGGTAACACCTGCTGTAGGCGAAAGAATAGTAAATATCGGCTATGTGACAAAATGGATCGAAACTAAATTGCTTCGAGAATTCGAAAAAATTGTCGTTTTACCGAACATGGATGACCTTATTATATCGCTATGTCCAAATTATCCTTATGCCACAACGTAAATCTTTTTGGATGATGTGTAATAAGCGCAAATGTATTCACAAGATGTAAATTTTTGCATAGATTTTTAAATTTGATGTCTATATTTTATTACCATGCAATTATAAAAGGATTAGTAATGTTGTAGTTAAAGAAACGTTTTAACTATATACAATAAAAAAAAAAAAGAAAGAGAAAGAAAAAAACTGATCTGTAATTAGTCCACCTTGAAAGTTTAATCGATGCAAAAATATATTTTTAAAGAGCAGCGGTAAATAATAAGTATGATTTTGGAAAAATAATCAGTATTGTATTATGAAATTAAATACGTATATAAATATATATATATTTTTTACTAAAATAATATTTCATATTAATACAAATTTACAAGATTAACAAATATGTTTCGTTATTTATTAATTGAAAGCAGGAGCCATATTTAATATTCAAGGTGGAAAAATAAAAATAACAATTTTCAAATATTTCTGTTATATAAAATAAACAAAAAATTAAAGAATCAATAAAGATAATTCTTTTACGTATACTTATATACAAGCCTCACTAAAACTCGATTTGAAAGTCGATAGTGAGCGTTTGCTATAAAAGAATACCTCGTGCTACTTGCAGTTAAAGGAAATTGGTCGAGTGAAAGTCCGAACATAGAAATATTTCTATGCGAACTTGTAAAAGATAGGGAACTACTTCACGGACGTATTTATAATAATAGCACATGATAATTTGTGCACAATTCTTTTGACGTCATTACATATACATTTTATAAAATCAACAATGTCTTCTTGTGGCTATTTTATCTTTGCAATTTACGCCGATTCTAATTTGTATTAGTTCCTTATTATGAAATAATACGATTACAGACCTGTCAATTGTGTTAAGTTCGAAGCGATGGTACCGTATGTAATGCAAACAAACAATAAACGATTATCAAAGCGAATATATGGATAGAGATCATAGCTACGCAGCGGAAGCTCTTGCGTAAAGGAAAATAAAGTTCCTTTGAGAATATAGAAGTGAGCATATACTTTCTTTTTGCTCTTCTATTACGTACGATGTTAAAGATGATAAACAGGCTAGTTTAGTACAAATTTATTGATTAAGATAATATATGCGTCACGTTATTCCTCCTATAAAAGAATAATATCACAGTTTAGAGATCGACATCTTGCGCACGAAGTACACTTATACTCGTGTAAGGCGTGTACATCGTATAAAATATATTCTATATATATAGATAAAAATATATATCTTATATATAGATACAAATAAAGATTGTAAATTCTTCTCAATATTTTTTTTGAGAATTATCTCAGTAAGCACACGCTCGTAAAAAAAAATATAAATAATCTGTAAGATAAACCGTGATTTTGTGCGACCTTCATTATCGAATGATATGCGTTAGCACGTTTATCTCTTCTTATGTTTCTTCCTACATCATAGAGACACATACAGCGTTGTGCTTACTGAAACTATTTTTTTGGAACTCGTACGATTCCGATATCTAGTGGTGGAAAAAAGCTTTATACATATAATTGCAATGATAAGAGGAAGTTGATGAGAGCATGCCGACAGTCTTTCAACCGCTAGCTTTTTAGCAGACATGGTGCAGTGATAGATTCGCGCACGGCTTCTGCCCAAGTTTCCAGTCTTGGTGCACAAACAAGTGTAAGATCGCCAAGTCTTCTACGAGCCATTATTACAAATTCGCCTTGGCCATGTCGAGCGTCACAAGCAGAAGAAACTCTTACACGGATGCTCTTCTCGAGATGAGGATTTGGAAGAATGGAGAACACCTCATTGGTCTATTAAGAAACAAGTAAAACAAGAATAAACACATAAGAATATTAGTTATAACATATAAGGATCAGAACAATGTTTATTTGAAAATTTATGCTTTACACAATTTAGAACTTGTTTTAATTGATTTTTCTTTGAACATATATCTTCAACCGAACTGTTCAGACTTGATTTAATATCAGTTTGAATCTATATATATATATATATATATATATATATATATATATATATATATATATGTTGTATTAAAGGATTTTAACGCATTCACTCATGTATGGAACAGAACAATTCTTATTTGGAAACTGATGCTTCATATGTGCAGACATGAGGCAAGGCAAGGCAAGACTATCCTCGATTGAAAAAAAAACTCAAATTAAAATGTTGACTTTTCATGTCTTAAAAAAAAAAAAAAAAAAAAAAAAAAGAAGAAGGATTACCTCAGTTTCCTCGACTCTATGAAGTGTCTTCGTTATCCTAAAGATTAATTCGGCAGCTTCAAGTTCGGGCTTCCTTTGCACAGCGGTGACGGTACCTCTAGCAACAAGGTCACTCTGACAATAAGCCTCAGCGAGTTCCTCCATTGAGCAAGGTCTACATTCCGCCTCCTCGTCGGACTCGTCCGGCGTGCTATGATTAACAACGAACGGCTCGACGTCGTATTGTAGCTTCGCGCGATTATTATTTGCGGTGAGCTCGTCAGCCTCAACGTAGAGTGCTGTACGTTGTTTTTTCGTATAGAAACAACGATGAGAGGCCTCATTTTTTCCATCACGCGGAGAATAAACTGGCCTAAGCGTACCGTTGTTTTCCAAATATATTCTTGTTGGACCGGAAGCTTTAACGCAAACACGAAAACCACTTGATCCGTAATTCGATTTGGGTCCAGTTTTATTAACTCCGTTTCCGTTTGCCAAAAGGACACCTGCAGTACCAGATCGAGATCCAATCGCTGAACCGCTTATCGCTGCAGCCACTGATAAGACTATCCTTAAGGCTCCTCGAGGATAACGCCATAAAACGGTCCCTCTTGAACATCGAAGATAAACGGGTCGTACACCCCGACCACCTCCACCACTAAAATGAAAACAAAAGTTTTCTTTTATCTTTTATATCCGACGATAATACATTTTGTATTATTTTCTTTCGATATTTTATGGTACGACTGGTATACCTGGAAGGTGCCAAGGAGTGCGGCAGTTTTAAAAATTTGTTAAAATATTCGACATTGCAAATCAAAATAATATTCGTTGCGATTTAGAAGAAGATAATGACTGAATCGATCGAAAGTTTATAAAGAAATCAATCATAAGTTTATCACTGTGTTATGTATATTATTAACAATATTTTATATTTATTCGAAAATAGCATAAATTACGTTTAGACTTCAGAAAGTAAGGTAATCCGAATATATCTATTCAAGTTCGATTGGGCGTATGCATTTATCTATAGTTGCTGCAACTCGTAAACTACATATCACAAATATCAATAATCTAATCATTCTTGTTGCGTTTGTTTTGCTTTTAAAAAGCTAACTCAATTCGATTTCTTGCTCGCAAAATTTACGTCCATTCAATTTTCATTCCGAATATGTTACGGAATAAATGTAAAAAAAAAACCCTCCAGACAATAAATTATTTGATCTATTAAGAATTAAAATTATTCTACAATTTATGCTTATACCATCGAGAAAAGAAAAAAGTATAATCGACATATTATTTAACAAATATCACGATTTCTATATAAAAAGGATAAAGACGGCAGATAAAAAAAAAAAAAAAGGGAAAGTCTTATTTAAAGAGACCTTTTTCCTATCATGATAAAATATAATATTTGGAAAGGGAGAGGCACGCTCGGCGGATAAATAGGAATAAATATAGAAATTGAGTGTCCAAGGACGGTCCTACAAACGAAAGTAATCTAGACTCGGTTAAAAAGTGTGTTCTAAATACGGACCATATATCTATATGCAAAGCGAGAAGTAGATATGTATGGGTAATATGAAAGGAAAAAAAAGAAAGAAAGAAAGAAAGAGATAGAGTAGACTGGTCTAAAAAAAAAACACGCACTCACAAACACACACATACATATACAGAAAGAGAAGGTAGAGAAAGAAAGAGAGAGAGAGAGAGAGAGAGAGAGAGAGAGAGAGAGAGAGAGAGAGAGAGAGAGAGAGAGAGAGAGAGAGAGAAAGAGAGACAGAAATAAGAAACGAAGAGAGAAGGCGTGGAATGGGCCACGCGCCTCCATAGCCATAGTCGGCGCTGCTTCGTGCGGCTACCACGCTCACTTACCCTCTTTTAGACAGGACTGACACGTACGGTAAAGCAGAACGGTGTGTATAGACAGCCGGGCACGTTCCCCTTTCCTCGCCTCTTTGTCGCAGAAGCGGAAACAGGTTTCCGTAAGGCGTACGACGGGTATAGCATTCTGTTAAGACCAACGACTTTTCTTCCCTCACCCCACCCCTTTTATACTCCAGTAGTACAAGGTAACATGGACCGATCTCTCTCTCTCTCTCTCTCTCTCTCTCTCTCTCTCTCTCTCTCTCTCTCTCTCTCTCTCTCTCTCTCTCTCTCTCTCTCTAAGCTCTACCAGCGACATAGGTGAAAAACTTATTATCGTTTCTATCGCCGTTTCTATTTGCCAGTTTTATGAACCGAAACGGTATTCGAGTTGTATATGAAAAGAGATCGACATTTTTTTTTTTCGTACAGAACCGGATAAGTCTCGGGTTCTATACTTATCGATACGATTTCTCGAATCCGTTATATCGAATATAAGTCCATGAACGAAACAAAAAAAAAATATATATATATAATATATACTTATTATTTTTGGATAAAGTAATAGACAATGTAGAATATATATTCTGTAAGAAAAGACGCGACAAGCTCATTTCGTTAACGCGTATATCCTAAGATCTAAGTAATGTATGCGTCCATTCTGACGTAAAAAGCACGTGGGCGCGCGGATAACGATCTCGTGGAACGATCAAATAAATCTCCTTCTCTTCTTCCTCTTTCTCTCTTCTTCTTGGAAAGCTTCTTTTCAGCGGACTGCTAGCAGCAACATATCCGAACCCACCTCTTCTCTCTGTTTCTTTATTTTTTTTTTTTTCCTTTTTTCTTATCCTTTCTGTACGAAGCAATCACGACGAGTTTTAGAAAAGAGACTGTCCTGACAAAGTGTCTTGAATTACCGTAAACCCTTTCGAGCGTGAATTCGGCGGCGTCTCGAGTTTCAGTCTTACAGTATTTCATGTAAACGCCTTGGTTGTTAGCATCAAATACTGCCCGTATAACTAGAATGTCGCATAGTCTGCTTAACATACGAAATAATACATAAGATGATATCGAGTCGATGTGTACAAATATATATCTATAAAATACACACTTCACATATGTATGTGTGTGTGTGTATGTATGTATGTATGTATGTATGTATGTATGTATGTATGTATGTATGTATGTATGTATGTATGTATGTATGTATGTATGTATGTATGTATGTATGTATGTATGTATGTATGTATGTATGTATGTATGTATGTATGTATGTATGTATGTATGTATGTATGTATGTATGTATGTCTGTATGTATATATATTATGTTATGTATCGAAGAACGCGGATATTCAGTGACGTCACTCGACTTTATAAAAAGTTCATGAAGTCATGGACGGGTGGTAATGGAAATGGCAACAGCTCAGATATTTTTTTTAACTGTCCTCGAAAAGTGCACCGATATATGTAAATATATATTAGTAGCAGAATTAGTCCTTTGTGGAATATTCCAAGGATTAGTTGTATCGAATTAAAATTCGATCGTTGAAATGTGATAAAAATAAGTATTTATTTTTTTTACGTCTTTCATTATTGATGCATAAAACTTATGCATATATATATATATATATATATATATATATATATATGTAATATATATATATTCTTAATTAAGATTATTGAACCAGCCTTGAAATGTAATATAAGATGTCAGTAATACAAATCATGTTAAAAAAAAAGAAAAGAAAAAGGAAATGTAATTGAAATCTTGGCAATTAATAATATTAAAGAAAATCAAGTTTCCTATTATATTTCCCTCATTAAAATTGATTAATTTTTTTTTTTTTTATAAGTATCTTATATTTTTAAATACCCTAAGAAGTAATTCCATGTAAATGCTTAACTGGTATATCGTATGTATATGTATGTATGTGTATACATATACATGGGGAGGGGGGAGGGGCCAAGCATGATGAACAAAGAGTAAGAACGAATATAAATGTGTGTGTGTGTGTATACGCAGAAGCTGGTAGTCCTTCGTACTCCCGCTCGTCCGGCTAGCCGCCTCGCCGTCCTCATGAATTTCATTCGATTCGATGCATACTTTCGCGCTTAGCCACACTGCCAACGACAACATGACGACATGACGACGACGACGACGACGAAGTCGCAGACGGCTAGTTCTCGTCACAGTAACCTCCGATATTACGACTTTACTCATAATCTATCTAGAGCGGTAGAACGATTTAATTGAGCAGAAATAAGATTCCTATCTGCAATTTGTTTTATTAATATAGGTTATAGGATAGAGTTATGCAACATATTTTCGTTAAACTAGGTTAATTAAAATTTAATCCTTTGAATCGAACTATTGCGATTATATCTTCTATATTTCATCATTTTACATTTCTTCAATATTTTTATATTTTATAGGATAATAAATACTTTGATCGATAATAAAAATACATAATTTCAAAAAATAATGTCTCATTTTATAAGCGAATCGACTAAAGGAAAATTACGTTATTCAAAGATCAAATCTAATATTCTTTAAGAGTCGTATATGTATTAAATTTGGATGTATGTGTTCGATGGATTTGGAAACAGATTAAATATATAAATGAGATTAAATCAGGTAATGAATTTTATATGGACTAATTTCGGCCTTCTTTATTTATCTCCGTTTCTTATTTTATTTTTCTAAAGGATATATATTAGAGAAAACGTCTATTTTTCTTGTAAAACATGAAAACATTCAACGCGAGATTACGCGACTTTTTCTGGTAAATGGTATGAAATGATATGCAATATATGTACAACGATATTAATTATGAATTCTCTCTTGGGAAATTGCTAGTTGATGCGAAAAACTGCGAAAATCCGTCAAGCGCGACTCGCGAGAAAGGTTAATAAGCTTCACAAGAATAAATCGCGATAGTATCAACATTGAATACGGTGTAAACAAATGCTAATGTATGTAAACGCATTAACGGACGCGTCGACCAACGACTAACGGGCATTTTTCTTTTTACACATTCTTATAACGGATTCGAAAGATTTAAAAAATTATGTCGTATCTTATTACTTTTAAAACAATTATTAAAATTAATAGTTTATTCATTTTTCATCGATTCCGAACAATTTTTTAACATTATTTTCAACGATACTAAAAAAAGCATATAGATATTTTGCGATTGTAATCGTTCATTTATATATATATATATATATATATATATATATATATATATATATATACATAAATAACATAAACAAAAAATGGCATATGAATTTATAAGTCAAGAAGGTTAATAAAAGAAATACGCTCGTCTTAATAGAGATATTTTAAAAAAAGAAGTAAAAAAATGATAAACGATCAGAGTTGTAAAATTCATTTCTGCATTGAAAATCGGATTTCGTAAAAGACGATGGGATCAAAAATTAAATGAATCTTTATAAATGGAATTAATTTTGTTTTTTTTTTTTTTTTTTTTTTAAATATCTTTAGAGAAAAAAGCGAAAAGGCTGCTATGTTCTCTAATACAAACGAAACGATCCTCGGCTCGATAATCGAATTGAAACAAGAGCAAATCGCTATGATCCAGATCAGAGACGGAACTAGAGCAAACTCATCATAACAGTTATAAACGGCCGTTTTTCTTTCTTATTGTACTTTTGTCTCTATTATAATCTATTGACTGTTGTCACTAATGGTAAATGATTCTCGTGAAAACGTGACATTTCAATTAAGTTCGGTATTGAATTGTTGATTAAATCTTATGTAATTTCTTACTTCTTCTTTTCTTTCTTTTCTTTTCTTTTTTTTTATAATCTATAATAATCCGTGCAATCGAATTATATAATAATATTTTCAATAAACTAATGATTTAAAATTATTTAAAAAATCCATTCGATATATATATATCGAAACTTAACACAAATAAATACATCGTGCCTGGTGTATATATGTCTATAGATATAAATATGGTCAAAAGAATCGACACAAAAAAGCTAACTCTATCATCTATTCTCTACGTAAACAAAATGTTAAAAGAGAGAAAAAAATATATAAAGATCAAAAAGAACAAAGAAGACAAAAGTAAAATCAAAGAAAAAAAAAGGAAAAAGAAAAGAAAAAAATTCAGCTTTTGTATTCTCCTCGGGATACAAAAAACTTGATATGCTTATAACGATCTTATCCGAAAGAAATATAAATCAAGCTTCGCGACATAAAACGCAAAGATATATCCAGATATATCCGAAAGCCACCAAATAAGGTGCCTTACGATGCCAAGGAGAACGTGCTAGGCAACGGAATCACGAAGAGGATAGAAAGAAAGAAACAAATAAGAAGGGGAACGAGCTTAAGTGAGACGGAACAAACTCACGAAAGGAGATCGAAAATCGGCAGCGCGGGAAGAAGACGAAGTAAAGACGAAGATGAAGATGAAGATGAAGATGAAACAAGACGAAAAGAAAAAATAGCACTAACCTTCCGATCCAATCGCACTCGTCGGCAGGCAAAAGGGCGACATGCTCCTGCGACTGTACTGTAGGTATTATACCGCCTACGAAGAAGATAAGGGACAATGTCAATGCCGCAAAAAGGGAAGGATCGGTTAGTTTCATCTTTCTCGAGTTGTTCCTGTTTCTTCGTTTTGTTTTTCTTTTTTCTTCGTTGTCTCTTTTTTTTCTCCCTTACGTTTTATCTTCTTTTCTATTTATATCTATCTATTGCTGTATCTGCTGACGCTCGTTATTACGGCTGTCTTTTCAAGTCCCTCGACAACGACATTTGCATTTTTTTCTTAAAAGTCGTCCGTGATTTCTCCTTGAAAAATTTGTCCCCTCGAAGTGCCCTTACTTTTCTAAAGATCCTTAGATATGTAGAGTTAGTTCGTGAAGTGGGTGGTCCATTCCAATGTTGATTTTAGAAGACGGGTCTAGAAGTGGCTAACAGGTTGTACCGTTGGATTAGGCGTTCTTTCGAAAGTCGTTGGCTTCTTTCCGTACGCTCGTTTCGTGTTCGTTGGCGCGCGAAAGAGTTTCTTTATGATTTCGTTGCGTATCATCGGCGATCATCGCATCGTGTATATATAGTGATTAAGCTCGAGGCAAACGCACGTGTGTATTGCGTACAACACGATCGAGGATGTTTTTCTTCCTTCAAAATACGTTTTCTTATATATAATTATCGAAATTGTGTTTACAATAAAGCTCGTCTTCTTTCTTTATACGATATGCGTTGTCTCTCAAATAAATGTATTCGTTCCTTCGTATATAATAGCTGTCTTATGCGCAAATACAGACACAAGTTTACTCGACGGAGCTGCTCGACACAATGGCACCCAATGCCACTGCTTGCGCGGTACACACGACAAATCTAACTGACGTACAAGGTAGTATGGGAGAAAGGGTCTTGTACTTGACGAAACGCCACCAAGTGGAAAAATTTGTAAATACTCTGAATCGATTTAAATACGTTTGAATTGGCGCCTTTCAATCAAACTTTTTAAATTTGTATTCTGTATATTGGTGCAAAGAATATGAATAGCTCGGTAGTTTTTTTTTTAAAATATGTCATTCTTGCCGATCATATCATCAAGAGCTTTTTCCAAACATCGTCTTCTAAACATATACAATAATAATTGCTTAACTAAGTAAATGATTAACATTATCTTCTAAGATATTTTTAAGTTAGTATTACGTATCACATGTTCAATTGTATATTAATCCGATGTTATATATATATAATATAACGACGTTATATATATATATATATATATATAAAAATTCTTGAAATAATAATCGTCATCATTCTTACGCTTCTGTTTTGAATGTATGCCAATCTACGTGTCCAGGCATACACTCGAAAGGATTTGGTTCGTAATCACAGATGCCTAATGTAATCATGCCGGTTGTATATTTATCTAAAGAAATGGTATTGGAATCATCTGGACCAAGTGATTGAAATATACTTCTAATGTGCCTACGTTTGAAAATTTAAAGTAATATTGGTATAAAGGAGAATATGAACATATATCTACCTTGTTTTAAATAATAATGGCGACTCTTTCACACCCGATCTGTATAGTATGCATTCCTTAAGAAGTTTTTCTAGGTATTGAATTGGATCGGGTGATTCCTCTACAAGAAGATGACCAATTAGGAAGTTAAAGAGCTTTGAAATTTTTTTTTCCTCGAGATAAGTCTGAACTCGTAAATGCATTTCCCCGGTATCCTACAAAAGAAAGCTGACATTAATTTTATCGTGTAAAAGCGTTGAAAAATTAATAAAAATTATTTGTATATTTTAAAATTATCTTACTCTAAGCTTATAACAAGTTGCTCTTTTAGAATTACATTTTATTCTTTCTCCCAATGTATTTTTATCGATCGAGTATCGTTGATTAGTTTTACGTGAGACCGACGATGTCGTTAATGCTTCAACATTTGAAAATTTATCAGTATCTTTTACGAGAACGTCTTTGTTATTAATAATGTTTTCGTTATCCATTGTATTTTTATAACCGTTAATTTGATATATTTCAAACTTTTAGATAGTTTATAAAAAAGAAATAACCAATTTTTTAATGATGCTCTTAAAAATATCCTCGTGTATGTGATCAAAAGTTTTGAAAATATTTGTCTTTTAGATATCTGCTGATAATTTCATACTTATCAACTTATGATTATTTGGATAAATTCTTATAAACAATAATGTGGGCCAATAATTTTCAATCTGAATTATATGGTCATTTCAAAGTTGGCGCCTATAATGACATCATGCCACTTCTAGTTCGTCTAATAATCTAAGTTCTTATTGGTTCATATGCATGCTTTCGCATGTTTGTAAAACTATGAACCTTAGCCGTAATTTTTCGGTGATTGATATATATTATTTCTCATATTTTAATAATTATTTATTTATAACTTTTATTTGTTAAACAATATCTTTATTATGCGTACACAACAATTATTTTTTTATAACATGCATAAAATAAATGTACCAAAGTTATTACGATCGCATTGTACAAAATCTACGTACAAAAGTGCTAATATAATTCGTAAAGAATTTTTAGATTATTTTACAAAAGAATTACAACATGATATTATTCATTCGAGTCCTGTTTCTCTACTTAATGATCATTCTACAGCTTTCGTTAATGCTGGGATGAATCAAGTATGTTTATTTGTTTATGTAATTCTAAATCCATTGTATTACTCTAATATTGATATTTAATCTCTATAGTTTAAAGGAGTTTTCTTAGGATATTATGAACCACCTTCTACAAAAATTGTGAATTCACAAAAGTGTATTAGAGTTGGTGGAAAACACAGCGATTTAAATATTGTTGGTTATGATTCATATCATCATACGTTCTTTGAAATGTTAGGAAATTGGTCTTTTGGAGATTACTTTAAGGTATATTCGATTATTTTAAATTACCTAAGAAGTAACTTAAAACTCTATTAATAAATAAATAAATAAATATATATATATTGTTTTATTAACTCTTTATAGAAAGAAAGCTGTCGTTATGCATTAGATTTATTAACAGGTGTATATAATATTAAAAAAGAATTTCTGTACATTACATACTTCGGTGGTTGTGAAGAATTAGGATTACAACCAGATACAGAATGTAAAGATATCTGGTTAAGTCTTGGTATTCCAGAAAACAGAATATTACCATTTGGAATGCAAGATAATTTTTGGGAGATGGGTCTCTCAGGTCCTTGTGGTCCTTGTACAGAGATACATGTAGATATTACAAAGCAATTAAGAAATCAAAGTTTAAAAGTAAATACAGGTCATCCAGATATTATTGAATTATGGAATATAGTGTTTATTCAATATAACAGGTGCATTTATTATATATATATCTATAAACTAATTTTTACCATGTTTTTTACTTTATATATAATTTATTATAGACTTACAGGTAATCATGTTATTCAACCATTATCAAACCATCATATAGACACAGGGATGGGTTTTGAAAGATTAGTTACTTTACTACAAGGAAAAAGATCGAGTTATGATACAGATCTTTTTCAACCATTATTTGAGACAATACGCCGCAGTACAAATGCTCCTAAATACAAAGGCACTTTTGGAACTTATGATATAAATGATATGGATTATGCATATAGAATATTAGCTGATCATGCACGAATGATCATTGTTGCATTATGCGATGGTATAGTACCAGAAAAAAAGTAAGAAATATTTATTTGTAATTAAATTTAAAATAACTTTTATCATAATCTTTAAATTTGTATCTTTAGTCAGAAATTGAGAAGAATATTACGGAAGGGAATAGATGTGAGTGAAAATATATTTAAAAAGAAAGATTTACTTTTTGAACTTACATATACTGTTGCTGATATTCTTGGAGATGCTTACCCAGAACTACAAAATAATCTTAAACAGGTAATTTTATTAATCATAAATCATAGACTTATTTTACAATAAGATGAAATCATTTTTAGGCCCATAAGATAATAAAATTTGAACAAGATTTATACGAAAAATTATGCTCAACCTATGGTAAAGAATGGAAAAGCATTGTTGCAACTAAACCAGAGTTAGCTTCTGTTACTTCTTGTATGGCATCAGGATTGGTAAATGGATATAAAGATTTGCAATCTATGTTGAAAAAGGATAAGTAAGCATTATCCGTAAATATTAAACAATATAACTTGTATTATATTTTTTATCTGTAGTGATTTCTTATTGTAGAACTGTATATGAATCTGGTATCTTACCAGGATATATGACATTTAGATTATTTGACGCTCATGGATTAAATATAGAAACAATAATTGAATTGGCTACTGTTGAATCACTTCAAGTTGATAAAGAAGATTTTGAAAAAGAAATGGATAAGGCAAGACTTAAATCTAAAGTTGGAATAATTAAAACTAATCAGAATATTGAAAAATCTTTAACATTACTTACTGAAAATAATATACCACAAACGGACGATTCATTTAAATATATCTATGAATATAAAAACGGCAATTATGAATTTCCTAAACTTAGAAGTAAAGTTATAGGATTGCTTATCAATGGTATTAACATATATTTATGCATATATAGCATTAATTGTAATTTAAATTATTTAGAAATATATAATTAGTTATTTATATTTACATATTTCAGGTAACATTATATTGGGAGATGAGTTAAAAGGAATTCTGATGAATATTGACAGTAAGAAAGATACAAATATATTATTAAATGAAAAAAATGAAATTGACATCATATTAAATAAAACAATGTGTTATTCATTTGAGGGAGGCCAGCAATCAGACATAGGTTCCATTTATTTAAAAGACTTAATATTTCAAATAAAAAAAGCTGAAAAAATTAATGGCTATGTTATTCATTCTGGCAAATTCGTGAAAAATAACCTAGCGTATGTATTTTTATTTCTATTTAGATTAGAAAAAGAAGAAAAAGTTTATACATACATTTATGTTTTTTGTAATAGGAATGTTTATTTAGAATTGGAAGATTGGAATGATTGTGTAACTTTTATAGATACAAATGTTCGAACAAGTCATATGAGGAATCATACAGCAACACATTTACTAAATGCTGCTTTAAAGTTTATATTCCCAGTTGTTTATCAACGGAATTCTTTTGTTTCTACAAACATATTAAAATTTCAGTTTTCTTCATTTGGAGATGAAGTTACATTAACACATATAGCAAAAATAGAACAACTTGTTAATAATGTTATAAAAACCAATGCATTAGTAGAAAATAGGATTTTAAATTTGCTGCAATTATTAGCAGAAAAGAATGTTACAATCGTACCAGGTGAAATATATCCACATACAGATATTAGAGTAATCGATATTAATACAAATGAATTAAAATCAAAGTAAGTTAGGGTTAAAATAAAATTTCTTATCATTTTCATAGTCATTAATTCATACATTAACAATATAATATTAATTTTTAGAGAATTATGTTGTGGAACACATGTAAAAAGGACAGGATTTCTGGAACAATTTTGTATTTTAAATTATAGTTCTAAAGGTGCATTAAATTATACAATTCATGCCATTACTGGGCCATTAGCTAAAGCAACAAAATTAGCTGGTAAAAATTTATTAGAAAAGATCGAAAAACTAGAAAATTATGTTAATACTAAAAATATTGAAAACAATGAGTTAAATTTACAAATTAAAGAGATACAGCAGAAACTACAGGTAGATACCAAAACTGCAGATATACCATTACCTTATCTTATTAGAGAAGAATGTAATGCTAAGTTACAAAATTTGATTGAAATAGTTATGAAACAGAAAATAACAACCGAAAGGTAAATATCAAAGTTATTGATGTGTATATTATTTTTTATTTCATATAATTTTTCTATTTCTCTTTTTCAAGAGCTTCTATAGTAAGAGAAGTAAAAAATTCTATGAAGCCATACAATTCTTTTATTGTTCATAATTTACAATATACACTAAAACATCTTTCTCTACAAGATGTAATATTTCTTTTTCCAAATGTACCAATACTTGTGATATCATATAACAAGAATGTCATTAAAGCTAGTTGCAGTGTACCACAGGTAAAACAAAAAATAATTTTATATTAAAATACATTATAATTATTTCCATTTATAATTATATGCTTCTGATTAATGTATTTAATCTAGGAATTTTTATCTGATGAATTCAATGCTCAAACATGGATAAAAGTGATCTTTCAAGTCTTTAATCAAGAATTTAATTTAAACATAAATAAAAATTCTTTAATGATAAGCCATACAAAATTTAAAGATATATCTAAGCAAGATGCAAAGAAATTAATAGAGACAGCAGTTATAGAGGCTACACAATATGCATTCATGTTAATAGACAAAAAAATAATTACAGAAAAAAATTAATAAAAAAATAAAATAAAAAAAATAAAAAAAATAAAAAAATAGAAATGTGTATATATTTAAAACAAATTTAAAGGACAAATGATTTATAAATTGAAATAAAAAAATTTTATATGTATGAAATATTATATAAATATTTAAATTTATTATTAAAATATCAGGTGATTACTTTTTGTATTTACATTTTGAATATTATTTTTTATTAAATTATTTTTTTGTATATTATACATAATTAAATTTTAATGTTTATTGTCTATGATTTTGTATATGTGTTTCATAAAAAAGTCTTAATGCATGCCATTGGACTCTATGAAGTAATATATGTTGTCTTTTACTTTTCATATAATCCACTGCTTCTTCAGGAATCCAACCATTTTTCTGGGGATGAATATTTTTGTTAAAAAAAAAAAAAGTTTATATTTGAATAAATTTATATTTTTGTAATAAATATAGATTTATCACATATCTAACCATCATTAAATAACATCCAACAAGTGTTGCACTACGTGTTCTGCCTGCTTTGCAATGAACATAAACTGTTTCCATTTCTTTGGCATCATTACTGTGATTGTCATTTTTTAATGTTCTATTTGTACAATGAAATTTATTTATAAAATCTACACCCATTTTTAACTTTTTTTGGCAAGGTGCATCAAAAATATCTGTTGTTGATAATTGTAGAAATTCCACATTGTACTTCTTCCAGTCCTAATATCAATATCAACAAAATAATCATTTTTAATAAAAATATGTTACACACGAACATAATAATTTAATATAAATCTATATTAATTGCTTGCACCTTTTCTGAATTAGATAATAAGGCTAACTCGTAATCTTCATTCATAGAAACTACTGCTTTCACATTTTCTTTTTCAACTAACTGCAGCATGACATGTAAACAACAAATAAAAGATTTATTGAAATAAGTACTAAATAAAATAAAATAAAATAAAAATAAAATAATAAAATGAGATACCTTTTTTGTCATAGTTCGAAAAGGCAGTGCACCCAAAATTACAGTTTCATCAATTCTATCATACCAATTTCTAGACGTTATTTTTTCCATCAAAATATTATATAATAACGTCGGATAAAAAGTAACTCTCGCAAACATTTTCACTACAAACAAGTGTAAAAGTTTTTACCGTTATACGCTTTAAGTTTCAAAGTTTTAAAAAATACTGCAGAATTCCTATACTAGTTATATTATATTATAATTTAATACTTATAACAAAAAATGTATTAACTAATAACAGTTACAAGATTTGTACATCGTTCTTCTTGAAATATCGGCTCGTAAAAATATAGGAAGTTTTATAAGTAGGTTTCTTTCTATTGAAGGTGAAAGTAACAGTACTTTCAAGACAGTTAATTGGAAAGATACGATGTATTATATATACTAAATTTTTATATATATTGCGTATAAAATATTAAAAAAATTAATATATATCCTTGTAAAAAATATTAAATCTTTATAAACAAAATATATCATAAAAAAAAAATATTATATTGGTTTCGTATTTTTCATTATACATTTTGTAATAAAGAAGTGATATGATATATCTATATTGTTCTTATAAAAATTAATTATTTAAAATTGTAATTTATTTTATATCGTAATCTATTTAAAAAAAAAATTGCCTCCAATAGGTGATTATTTTATTTTATATTATTTCTTTATAATATAAAATAAAAATTATTACCACCTCATATATATAGTACTGGTTTGTTACAAAAAATGGTTATGTTAGTGAAATTTATCATTACGCGCATGATGATGCGTAATGGTGAAAATATTAAATAGTTAATAAATATATATTATTTATTATAATTATTTAAATCAATCAACATGATACAATTTATATGGAAAAAATAAGTTTTGCTAAATAATAAAAATTCAGAATTTAAAGTTACAATAATACAAAAACTTTCTAATTTATTCAACTAATTATGCAAATTGTAATTTTAAATATGTGATGTATTTATTAGATTAATTTATCCTGAGTTATTAATTTATCCTATATTAGATAATTTATCATCATCTAAACAAATAGGACCAAATTCTCCATTTCTAAACATATTAATAAAATATATGGCAGCAACTTGAAAATCAGGTTTAACAATGTATTTATTATTGTAATCACGTAATTTTAGAGTTTTTCCTAGCTTTGCAGCAATAAATGTAAGAACATAAATGATATTATCATTTGGCTCAGGTAAATCTAATTTTTCAACATACTCATATTTTCCATATTTATTTAAACAAAAAAGAAGAAAATCAGCAACTGTTATGTGTCCTACCAAGTGATCTTGTAAACAACCAATCAAAGCTAATTTGAGACCAGTATATATATCTTTCACATGAGGTGCTAAGATACCTGGAGTGTCTAATAAAAAAAAATCTGGATTTTCAGATATTTTTATACGAGTTAATACGGAACGTGTCACTCCTGCTATAGGCCCTTCTTTTGTAGCTTTTGATTTTCTTAAGTAAGTATTTCTTAAACGATTGATTAAAGAAGATTTTCCTACATTAGGTACACCAATGATCATCATTGCAAAAGATTCTTCATTACTTCTATTATATCGTTCAGAATTCGATATTAATTTTTTAGCCAAAGGTAATATTTTTCTCATGCCCTTGCATTCCTGATTTTTAAAATTAGTATAAAGTATGTGAGATAATCCTTCATTCTTTAGGGTAGATTCTATTTGCTGCTTATATTTTAAGTCAGCTAAATCAATCTTATTTAATATAAAAATATGTGGTTTTAAACCAGTTAAAGTTTGACGAAAATCTGCTTGACGTCCTGAAATTGGTACTCTAGCATCATGTACTTCTACTATACAATCAACATTCTTCAAACGTTGTTCCATTTGCTTTAAACCTTTTTCCATATGACCAGGAAACCACCGTAGAATATCTTTTTGAACTAATGTAAATGTTTTTCGGAAAGTTGTTTTTACTGTACCTCCTATGTCTTTCATTTTGATTCAGCTTTTTAGTAATCTTCTTTTAATATTATGGAAAATAGTCTGTAATGTAATATATGTAAAAAAGATTATTGCAGATAAGGTTATCTACAATTTAATTTTAACAAATTTAATTTTGAAAATAAAAATCGTATTAATTTAAAATTTGTAGTATTTGTTTATATTAATACAATTTATTAATGAACGTTTTGTATATCATTAAATTGTAGAATTAATGTATTACAATTGATATTTTAGGTTAAAGAAAACTTAAAATACTACATATGTTTAATTTCTACTTATAATTACCCTTTGAATAAAATATTTATATGCAACCTAAAATTATCATATAATATCAATCAAAGATTAATAAACATTTTAAATATGCTACAATATTCAATATTAGCCATGTATGTGTAAGAAATATCTGGATTGGCCGGCGAAACTAATTGCCTCTTATCCCCACTCTTTCTATTTTTTCTCTTTATAGGATTTTCGTTCTCATTATATCAAAATAGAGACCCAATATTCCCCAACGTTTGTTTACAGTTATTACATTGTTATGCTACGATTTACTATATTTTGCTTACAAATAAAATATTCGTATATATATTCATTTGAATTATAACGTTTGAAAATACTGGAAGAGTAAACATACTCGAATAAGGCCAATCGAATGGCAACAGTCGAAGAATTATTTTTCCTTTGGAAATGTTTGCACATCTCTAATGTACATATATGTACATATGATTAAGATATAAAATAAATATTATGCAAAACAAATGTATAAATTCAATAATAATTATTCTAATTAACGTATATCTTTAACGAACATTATATATACATTTATAAAACAAAATATCTTCCAGAATATTAAATAATTTTCTTGTACTTTTGTCGTATGTTTTTTATGTGAATTTATGTATTATAACGCTTCACCTTATCGGGTACTGCGTACTTAACAATGAAGTATGATAATAATTTATATTGAGCGCCTTCAATATAATATACCATTGGTTTAAATAATATTCCGCTTTGTTTTATTACCAATTTATATATCTACATAAACACTACATCTAAAAATGCATTATAAATATAATTTTTCCACACTATCGATAATCTCATGATATTAAAATTATATTAAATGATGCAATTTCGACGAATTATTTGTCATCGTATTTCTTATCTTCACCTAAAATTAATTAACTAAAATGAAATATTCGTAATATTATATGCGAAAAAAAAGAGTTAAAAATGCATTAGTCATCATCTTTAACTCCTACTTTTTATATCGAATTTTAAATATCAATACGTGGACGCGCGCTTTGATCCTAGTGCTACTTGTTGCTAGTTTTACAAAAGAGGTGGATTATTCTGATAACAAATCATTACATATACATTGTAAAAACGTACGCAGTTTTTTAACAAAAAATAATTTTTCTTTAACGAACTGCAGAATAATGACAGAATGATGACAGATTACGAGAGGGTAATAAATATTGTTCGAAGTCAAATGATATTATTTTTTTTTTACCGTCGTGTCAGTGATATTAGAAAATATCGACATTGTGAGCTTATATCTAGAGACTAAAGCTTCTTAATAGATTCTTTGATGAACAATCAATGTGTCTTTCCTTTTATTGTTATTGTATGGAGGTGGTTACGATATTTTGTAAAATTTATATTCCCGAAAGAGTCGGACATAACCTAGATTTTACTCAAAAACTAAAGAGCCAATTTTGATATGGCGTACAAACGTGTCATCATACTCTTATGTTTTATTACTGTAACGATCTTCCCTGATATTGCTTCTCATCAAGTGCAAGAGGTGTGTATGTATATATAAATATGCACAGTATATAAAAATGAACAGTTCTATTTATTTTTTGTAAATATATATATATATATATATATATATATATATATATATATGCATATATAATATTTAAACAATTTATTGCATAAATAATGTAAAATAACTATTTGTTGTAATATAATTTTTCTTATCAGAATTATATTCAACATTAATCTGATGACGTTAAACAATTCAAATTTATTTAAAAGTTTATGTTAATTTCTTTTTTAATCTCTAATATTTAGAATTCTTTTAATAAGAAATAAATATAATATAATACTTAATCTTCTGTATGTAGAATCACAATACAGGACTTACTTGTGAACAAGATGATCCTCTTATTATTTTTTCTACTCTTGGTGGTGCATTAGTAGGAGTTGGTCAAAGATCTGGAGAAATACGGTGGAAACAGAATGACGGTATTACATAATAAAGTACCATGTAAAATATATTAATATATTTTCAAGTCTATTGATATTATTCTTTTCTTAATTTATTATAGAACCACTTGTCAAAGTACCTACTGATTTCCCTAAAACTACAATGTAAGTAATTTTTAATTTTAAATTATAAATTGTTTTATATACTGTAGTGACATGTATTTTGACAGATTTTAGATATTTTATATAAACATTAATGGGAAATTTTACTTATAGGCCTATGTTTTTACCAGATCCAAAGGATGGATCATTATATTTATTTGGAACAGATTCTGAAGCTCTTAAAAAACTACCATTTACTATTCCACAATTGGTAGCTAATAGTCCTTGTCGTAGTAGCGATGGTATATTATATACTGGCAGAAAAATTGATACATGGTTTACAGTTGATCCTAGAACAGGTAGAAGAGAACAAGTTTTAGGTTTTGATAAAGCAGGTAATACATGTCCTGTAGAAATGCAAGATGTTATTTTTATTGGACGCACAGAATACAATATCATAATGGTGGATAGTAAACAAAAAGATAGAAAATGGAATGTGACATTTTATGATTATTCAGCAGCAAAAATGGAAAACGATGGAAACGAAAATTATGGTTATTAATAATTATGAGATAATAGTAATAAGAATTTGATATAATTGAAATGTTTATAATAATTATAACATATTTTTCAGATCTAATACATTTTACTACAAGTTCAACGGGTCGAGTTGTAACTTTGGATAGAAGACAAGGCACAATTCTATGGCAATTAGATTTAGAAAGTCCAGTTATAGCAACATATACAGTCACTCAGGATGGCTTATTAACTCTACCATTTACAAGTGTTGCAGAAGGAACATTAGATAATTTACTAGGACACTTTGTAACAAAACCAACTGATATTCAGTTGTTGTGGGTAATCTTTAAAATTTTTTATATTAAATATGTATATATTATTATACCAAATTTATTTTATGTTTTTTAGCCCTACATTATACATTGGACAACATAGATATGGACTTTATGCTTTACCATCTTTAGTTGATTCAACAACTGCAACTATATCAAGTAAAGCAGAATATTTGTTGCTGGAAGGACCATTAACAATTGCACAGATTCATAAAAATGATAATAGAGTTCCCTTACCTGGGGATCATGTAGTGATTGCAAATATCCATACTACTCATGATGGATATCAAAGTATCACAAGAGAAAGAAGTATTATCACATTAGGTAATATGCTTAATTATAATCACGAAGAAAAATATTTTGATTATATAATATTATATATAATGAATGTATACAAAAAACTTCATTATTATATTGATGAATTTTTCTAAACATATCAGGTCATTACAAGGTACCAGCAGAATATAAGTCTAAACATCAACCACTTCAAATTACTGGACGGTCTGATGTAATTCAAGCAGAAATATCATCTTTGAATTCAACACCAACACATTTACCAATTACATTAGCTGATAATACACCAATAATTGCTAATACAATGCAAGAGGGAAATTGGTATAAAATTTTAACTGAAAGCTATAGGGCGAGTAAAAAATGGCTTAATCAACAAGAGAACAAAGGATTGAAATTAGCACTTATTATTCTTGTTGGATGTATAGTTACAATGTTTTGGTATTTCAATGCACAGTTTAAAGAATTTCAACAGATGTCACAGGTGCGATATTACGTTATATATATAAACATCGATTGTTATATATCAATGTTCCTCAAGCTATGGATCGTGGCCCAATATTGAGCACTGTATCTTTAAAATAATATACAGTGACTCTAGTTTATCAAGTTCTTAAAAATAATTATTTAGACCGCGATATCATTATAAATATATTGGGCCGCATGGCCCATATTCAACCAAAAAGATCGAGAATTGGCCGAATTTTAACCAAAAAGATCAAGAAACGCTGTTATATATTATTTTTTGAAAATGATAAAATTCATGACTTTACAATAACTTTTAATTATTATGAAAATGACAGTGTATCCATATTAATTTAAATATAAGTAATTTATCCAGGGTTCACGTGAGAACAGTCGTACAAGCAGTAATGGTAAACGTAATAACATTGTTATTCTTGAAGATATGGGAGAAGGTCTGGTAAGGGTGGGAAAGATTACTTTTAATACTAGTGAAGTGTTGGGTAAAGGATGCGAGGGAACATTTGTATATAAGTAGGTATAGAATTATATTTTTTAATCTTTTATCTCTTTATGGATAACTTTTGTCATTTCTGATAATTATAATTGTATTAGAGGTGAATTCGATGGCCGTTTGGTAGCCGTTAAGCGACTATTACCAGATTGTTTCACATTTGCTGATCGTGAAGTAGCATTACTTAGAGAATCGGATGAACATCCTAACGTTGTACGATATTTTTGCACTGAACATGATAGAATGTTTAGATATATTGCTCTAGAATTAGCAGAAGCTACTTTACAAGATTATGTAGCAGGGAGATACAACAGAGAAAAGATATCTGTGAAAAATATATTACGGCAGGCTACATCAGGACTTGAGCATTTACATTTTTTAGATATCGGTAATTTTTACTTTGATGTTTACCAACACCTTCATGACGTTTAGTTATACTTACTATATATTCATAGTTCACAGAGATATCAAGCCACATAATGTCCTTCTATCAGTTCCCGGACCGCGAGGTGAAGTCAGAGCGATGATATCAGATTTTGGTCTTTGCAAAAAGTTACAGCTTGGTCGTGTATCATTCTCGCGACGTTCTGGTGTAACTGGGACAGATGGTTGGATAGCACCAGAGATGCTAAATGGAGAAAGAACAACATGTGCTGTTGATATTTTTTCTCTTGGTTGTGTTTTCTATTATGTACTTTCTGATGGAAAACATCCATTTGGTGATCCCTTGAGAAGACAAGCCAACATACTTTGTAATAATTTGTTTGCATATAATTAATTGAAATATTCATACGATCAATTCAGTGCTAATATCTTATATAGGCGGTGAAAGTAACTTGACAGCGCTACAAGGAATATCACAAAGTGATAAAGAATTAGCATTGAATCTTATAAAGGCAATGATTTCTGAAGATCCATCAAAACGACCACCAGCTTTGGCAATTCATAATCATCCATTATTTTGGGAACCTAATCAAGTACTTGGTTTCTTTCAAGTATGTAAAGTTATTGCTATAATAATAGATCTATATAATAGAATTATAATATATATAATATAATATATATATATTATTTTACATTTCATTCGTATTTTAGGATATTAGCGATCGTGTTGAAAAAGATCAACCCGATAGTCCAGCATTGTTAGCTCTTGAAAATGGTAATAAACGAGTTGTAAGAGGTGATTGGAGAATGCATATTGACCATGAAGTTGCAATAGATCTTCGAAAGTATAGAAGTTATCGAGGTGAAAGTGTAAGAGATTTGTTAAGAGCATTACGAAATAAGGTACACGAAAGTAACAAATCATATTTAACGAATAAAAAATAATAATAATAAAAGTATAATATAATTTTTTGACTGATTCTTTCAGAAACATCATTATAGGGAATTAACGCCAGCTGCACAAGAAAGCTTAGGTGAAATTCCTGACAAATTTACGGATTATTGGCTTACTAGATTTCCGTGTTTATTATGTCACGTTTGGATTACAATGCAAAAGTTTCGTAACGAATCAAGTTTAAAACATTATTACCATATACAATATAATTTTGTTAATCCTAACGAGATGGAAAACAATGAAACACAAGAAAATCAATTAATTTCTATATCAGTAAATAAAATACAAGAAAGAGATATTGATTGGAGTCCAAATAGAAACAGATATCGCGGACATAGGAGAAAACAAGAAAGAAAAAGAATTATCGAACCATCGACATGGATATTACCGCCAAGTTAGGTATTTTGTTATCAGTTAGAAATATCTATATATATATAGATGGAGAGACTGATCATAATACAAAAAAATTGGAAATTATTACAAATTTTGTCAATTTTTACAAAGACTTAGTGATAATTACAATGCTGGGAGCAAACAAATTTTTATATCTTAATAAAAGATATAAAAAAAATATTAAGCTTTTTCTCTTAAAATTATATTACGGATAGTTTATTATTATGTAGATTTTTATGATTTTATAGATATAATAAGGTGCATATAACTATTGACAAAAACAATAGCGTCCGCGTGGTGGTTTGTCCAAATATTGAAATGTTCGCACAACTGTAACGAGAATGTATAATTATCGACATTAAGCGTTTTAATCTTAAATAAAAACAAACATAAATTGGTCCCATGATTACTTCGTGCATCGCATTTCCATGCAGACCATAGATCAGTGCACATCTTTTTCGTAGTCATAACTAACTATTGCTAGTATCTTAATCACCTTTAATCTATATACAAAACATACACATATGCACATAAAAATATAAATTGACTTGTGCGATTTGATATAATTGGACAGGATATATAAGAATAAGTTGTTCTTTTTTTCATTGAAATTCTTTTGTACAGTCATAAAATTGTATAATTTACATATTATTATTGAGTAAACGGCGTGTACATATTAGCGAAAAAAATATGGTATGAATATTGTATCGTTAAGTAAATGCTGGCATAAATTTATGATTAACAATTTATAATTGCATAGCTGTTTTTAGTTGATAACAGATTACATAGATTATTATATTATTTATGGCAGGAGTATCTAATCTTTTTATGAAAAGAAGGTTTCTCATTGTTATTAATCATTTATCTTTATTTACGGTTCAAAGCGTAAAGTTATATAATTTTAAATGGAATTTCTAAATCTTTAATGATCATTAAAATGATCCTTAAAATGCCTTAGTATCTCTGTGATCTTTTGCCCTAAACGGTTTTATAATAATTCTATATATAATATTAATTTATGAAACCATGACGAAAATAATAACTAATTATTTGTAGAAATAGAAAAATAGTACAAAAAAGCATTTGTTTCAACAAATCGAGCTTGATTATTAATAATTATTAATAATTTATACAATTTAACATTTTTATCAAAATTAATATAATTAAATTATGAATTTATATGTAACATAAACTTTGGCGAACGAAGAAAAAGTACAAACAAAATGTTATGAAATGCAGTGATGGAACGTTTACTTTGCGAATAAATTTTATATAGTACGCTAAATATACAAGTACTTAATTCAAGTAATATTATGTTAAAAGGCACTTACTACACATAACTTAGAATATAATACCTTTAGAATAATGGTGCGCAAACAATATGATTCCTCAGAGTTGGCAAAATAATAATAAAATTGTAAAGTAATATATTTATTTTTATTTTTTAAAAATAAAAATAAAATGATATTACTAACCATTTTTACGCGATTTATATTTTCAAAATATGTACACAATGTAAATATATAAAAATAAAATGTATAGACGTTATATTGATAGAAAAAAAATGTCTAATAATATTTATAGATATGACATCTAATCACTTTAGTTAAATCAATTCATAATGACGGTACTTCCATTATTTATCAATCAATCAGTTCCTGAAAAATAATGACCTGGATATTCTAAAGAATTACATTTTAATATTCTATTTGCAACTTCTTTAGACATTTGTTTTTCGAGCTCTAAACGTGGCGTTACATTTTGTAAATTACGAATGTTCACGTTAGCACCACTTCGGATTAGTAATTCCATGATTTTTGTATCAATATTTCTAGTTGCTAAATGAAGAGGAGTATCCCCATTCAAATCTTTGGCATTTATATTGCATGCAGCACAATCTAAAATTATTTTCACCGCTTGTATTTTATTAGCTAAACAAGCTAAATGTAATGGAGTGCGACCTTCAAATTTCGTTGTTACATTAACGTCTGCTCCTGCATCTAAAAGTAATTGAATTATTTCTAAAGATCCAACGGTAGACGCTACATGCAAAATTGTATCGCCATTATTATTATAAGAATTAAAAATGATTGTTGGAATTTTGTTCCTTTTTTCCGAATATTCATGTATTGGAGCACACCGTTCACAGTAACATAATGGATGACAAAGATCTGATCGTACTGTCATTTGTTTATTCTGATTACTCCATCCAAGATAATAATTTGCTAAGTGTATATCGCCCTCGCTAATTGCAGCGAATAATTTATTAATTTGTACAGTAATATGGATGTCAGGAGAACATTTGGATTTTAATTTACTTTCAGTTTTTGGAGACAATTGTAAAATTGGTAATGGATTATGAACTTTTACTGTGCAAGGAATTACAACATTTGACGTGATATGTTGCAATAATATTGTTACTCGTTCACTTTGTGCAACATCAAAAGATGTTTGACCCCATTTATTTTTAACTTTGCAATTTGCTCCATATTCTAAAAGAACTTCTATGATACCTAAATATCCCCATTTAGATGCACGATGCAGAGGTGTATCACCATCAATATTAGAAGAATTAACATTAAGCAATAAATTTGTATGTTCTGCAAAGTAAAGCAGAGCTTTCACACAACCTTCATGTCCACGATCAGAAGCTATATGTAATGCTGTATTTCCATAATTATCCACTATTATAGGATTTGCATTTGCATGTAAAAGTAGTAATACAATATTTTGATGGCCTTTCATTAACGCACAATGAAGAGGTGTGAACGAATCATTATCAGTTACGTTTGTGTCAGCTCCATGATTTAAAAGATAATCCACAATATTTACTTTTCCATAAAAGCTTGCTATATGAAGGGCTGTAGAACCATGTTCGTTCTTTGAGGATATTGTTGGTCGATTTAAAAGACGATTTTTAGCTAAAGATGCTTCACAAGATTCACAAGTACACAATGGGTGACATAAAGGAATTTGATTATATAAGTTGATAATGTCAGATGATAATAAATTTTCCACTTCTGATAAATCACCTTTTATTATGCATGTAAATAAATAATCTATAGATGTGCGTTCATCACTTTCATTTTTTTCATGTTTTTGTTCTGAATCAGAAATATGATTCATTCTATTTTTTTCCATTAATGCACCAGATTTTATATATTCTATTGCTGCTTCTAAAGATGTTGTTAGATAAGCAAGTTCATCCGCTTCATTAATGCTATTTGCTGAGAAACGAAAATGTTTTATGAAAGTTATTTGTGCTATCCAATTTGATAAACTAGTTTTGATGACAAGATATACTAGTATAGGTAGTAAATCATCTGATGAAATAGAAGATACTCCTTGAGATATATAACGAATACTTCTTCTGAGGCATTCAAGTTTTTCTAAGACTGTCATGTAACAAACTATATGTGATAATTCTAATTTTCCTCTGTGAATATTAGTATATAGATCTAAATGTATTCCTAAATCATCAAATTTCAAATCAGTTAAATTTCTTATTATTTTATTTAAATTAGCATCATCATTAGCCATATAAATAGATATTGATTTTGGAAGAATTTTTCTTAATGTATGTAATATATATGTTTCAACTGCAATTTTTATATTTTGAATGAGATATGTGGAAGTAATACTTGTATCATTAAATTTCTTATCCTTCAGTATCATTTCAATGGAATTTGAGTATAATTGAAACACAGAATTCTTCAATGTTTCTAACGATGGTTTTTCTATATTTAAATATATTTTTTGAAATTCTTTTAAATTCACTTCTAAAGCTGTATAGACTTTTTCATCAAGTTCAGACCAAAGTAAATTTATAGCATCTTGATGATTCGTTATGATAGTCAGATGATTATGTGATGATAGCGTTTCACAATTTATAGGACATTCTATGCACCTGCAAAACATACATGTATGTTAAATTATATATTTGTATAAAAAAAATTCCACTTACTTTTTATGGAAATTTTCTATTAACATAGTAATATAATAATCGTATTAAAAAATAGTTGTATTTACCATATTCGATACTTCCATGAATCTTCGTTATAAAATGTTTCTTCAAAAAGCAAACGTAAGGGATATGAGTTTGGTGTTTCATAATTTACAGTTAATATTCTATTTAGAAGCTTCACATTCTTATTGCTTAAAGAACGAAATGAAGTTTTAGACATATCATAATCTGGTATTAAAATATGTTCTTCTACATCTTCTTTGTACAAAACATCCTTTGTGAAGGTACCACAACGAGGTACGCACACAATCCAACCTTCGTGTGCGGCTAATCGTAAAGTAGGTTCGTAAAAATTCCTAAGTTTTTCTAAAAATGGATTTTGAGATACATCCTCGTCGTAATTTATTTCCATTTCTGAATAATGTATCTATAAACATATCGCACGGCGTATTGTATCGCTACAAAAGTAGAACAAAGTAGATTTTAGCGATAAGTAATTTAAAATGAATTTATAAAAATGAAAAAAATGTTCATACCTTTTGTTAGACGACATTTATACATTTAATGGATTAATTCATATTTAATTATTAATATTGATTTAATAAATACAATTGTTGAAGTATAAACATTATATACACAGCATATAAACTTCTGTTTATTTGAAAGAATTGAAAATATATCATACTACTATATTGTTTCATTTTACGTTGATTTAAAAATAACATTTGTTGCATAATCACTTCATCTTGATTATGTGAAACAAATCAAGATCTTGATTAAGTGAACAGAATATTTTTGCGATATCTATTTTTGATTACTATGATTCGAACTGAATATAATTAGTTTGTCACTTTCATCGTCTTTATTACAAATAAAAAAGAAGTATTTCGATAAAAGATTGATATGTATATATATATATATATATACGGAAGTTTGTATATTTTATGTATACAATTCGTGACATTTAAAATAGAAAAACAAAAAATAAAAAACGTAAATATTTATAAATAAATCTTCATCTATTTTATTTTTATATTTCATTAAAATTTTTACAACTCTTTATAATTGAACAATCTAAAATAATTTAAATTTTTTAATTTTTTTAATTAAAAATCGATACAAAATAATTATTTTCAAAGAATGATAGTAAGTATTTGAATTACATCATCCGTTTTATTGTAAACAAAAATGTAAGTTTTCAGCCAATCGTAACGTAGGTATAGCGAGATTTTCAACGATTTACATTTAACGAATGAAATAAGTGAGCACTTGTATTGAGCGTATTTTAACACGTACATTGAGGATTACCCTTAAAAAAATTCATATTACGTGTATTTAGAATTTTTGAAACCGATAACAAAATGCGTAACGTTAATGTGAAACATAAACGAATTTAAGATTCTGTCGTATGGAAGAAAAGTGAAAGAATTAATATGAAAATATTTATTGGATAATTTTATAATTCGTTTCTTTAATTTCGACCAATGCGATACTGCTGTTTTTGAAGCACGTTTCTTACGCGCTAAGCAACAGCGACGCGAAAGGTGGAAAGTGACGTCGAAGAAATGGCTAAAGAGAAAGAGAGAGGGAAGAAGATAAGGGTATACGATAGAACGGGACATAACGTTTCGTACAGCGTTTGCGCTGTACACTACGTTCGCGGTCGTGCGAAAGTCCACATGAGGCTGTTGCCAGTTATTGATCCTGGCACGCTTAAACAACACTGCATTGCTGTCAACTAGGAAAACAATTCCCGTCGACGCAGCGCGTTCGTAAAATATCATCTGTTAACGGGCTTAAAGGACGATTCGTGAACGTACCTATTTCACGTCGTGTTAGTTACGTCGATTGCGACTTTACCGATATTCTTGATCAACTTCTCTCGAAAATCGACGCACGTTCATCGTTCTGTCAAAATGTAAAAAAGATTTCTTTCTTGGTAGCAGTATCCGGCGGGTGAAGAAGCGAAAGAGAGAGAGAAGAGAGAGAGGGAGAGAGAGAGAGAGAGAGGGAAGAGATAGATAGATAGAGTGGTGGGAGAAGGAGTGGGAACAAGAGAAAAGTAGACAGAACGATAGACAGAGAGGGAGAGGGTGGGAGAGAGTGTGAGAGAGAGAGAGAGAGAAAGAGTGGGAAGGAGAGAAAGGGAACGAGAAAGACAAGTAGACGAAGATAGAGAGGGAGAAAGAGAAGTCGAGCAACGTCACAAGAGAAAAGATCCGTCATCAGGATTTTATTCGCTCCTCTTTCTCTAATGACAAGAGATAGAGAAGGAATATATATATAAAAAAAAAAAAAAACGGACCAAAAAATCGATTTCTTTTTATCGTGCGAATCCTTTTTCTTTTCTTTTTTTCTCTCGTAAGTCGTGCAAGTTCTGGTTAAGGCTACGAGCTCGTAACACGAAGAGACTTAGCGCGTTGTACGTACGTTGGCTGCACATGTGATCGTCCAAGGTGTCACCATCAGCTCGAGATGAAGAAGTTCACGATCAAAGGGGTACTCGACGGTTTCCGTTCGTCGATTCCTCAGCCAGCTAAGTCGGACCAGGAGATCGTTGAAAATCTAAGATCCGAGCACTTTCAAGTCAAGAAGGTATTGTAATATTCTAGCTCCTTTAAAAATCTGCGAGATAAAAATAGTCGACGTTTCTTTACGTGACAATTTTTATATTACCTTGATTCGTTGACAATTAGATCGTTATGTCACATTCGCGTATATGTTTACAATACCGCGTGATCGATTGGCATTCTGTATAATAATCGTCAACGAGCGTGATTATGGCCGAAGTCGATAGTTCGCTTATTATTTCTTTGACAGCTGTTCTATTGAAATTAATACATTATCCATCTAAAAAGTCTAAAGCACAAGCTTGAATTGTTCTTAATGATAAATCATTTTTTAGGTTATTTTTATATTTATATGTACTTTATGGATTCTTATAATAATGAAAGATATTAATCTATTACTTGACTTAAAGTTTTGTAGACAGATTTATGAGAAATTTGTAAAAACTATAATGTATACTAAACATAAGTATCTTCTGAATACTTAAAACATAAGGAAATGTATTAATTTCCTTTTCATAATAATGATTTTCAGCTTTAAGAAAGAAAATCTTTGATATTCCTTTCCTTATGAAGCAGCAACATCATTCTTTGCGATCTACAATATTATTACATATCAATAAACTTACTGTGAGTTAATGAATTCTCTTTGCAATAGAAATTATACTTGTATTTGTCATGGACAATGTGTTAAGTTAATTCATCTGGCAACCTGTAATTAAAATTGTATTTTCTGGTCAGCTACGGTGCTTTCTCATTTACTTTATATGTATTGAAAATTCAATTTCGTTTTTCAATTAAATTTTTGACATTGTAAGTTCTCTAAGTTAATGAAAAACAATGACTTATATGAAATGTTTATAAACTAAGTTTTACTGTTTATATATTAATAAGAAAATATTCTTTACAAGATCAATTAGAATATTGCTAAAATAAGTGCTAATATATAGATGATGTTTAAACATAGCATCATTAATAGATATAGTATATAATTTATATATATATATATAATATATAATATATATAATATATATAATATATATAATATAATATATAATATATATAATATAATATATAATATATATAATATATAATATATATAATATAATATATACATATGTATTGTACCAATAGTGTATATTATGGTTACCTTTACCAACTAGTATGCTGTTTATATGTAACAATAATAACCACAGATGAAAATGTCATTTGAGGTATGAATATTGATTTTGTACCACCATTCTAGTTCCAAACAAACATTCATATCGCTTTGTTCTTTGCACGTATATAGAATGAGAAGCAAGTTTAATTTCCAAATAGCTCTAATGGATTTCATGTTTAATTAAAACATAAATTTAAACTAAACTTTTGAAATATTATATAAAAGTTATTAAAAAAGTTTGAATTGAAATATTTTTTTTGTATTTATAAAAATTTTTAAAATCTACAATCTTTGAATACGAAAAATATTACAGTTATATTGTATTTATATTTTATACTTTATAGAAAATTCGTAACTAACAGTAAATACGGAACAGTATTAATGTTATGTTAGAATTGAATTTGTTGGCAGCATGTTTGTTAGAAAGAGAGTAAATGATGGTGAGCGATCGGTCGCAGCGACCACAGGCACGATAACATTGATCAATATAAAGGCAAGAGTTGTCTGGTTTTGTCTGTTAGGATTAAACGTTTCTTTCGATATTTACCTGAATAATGTCAATAAATCCATCTATTTCGAATCAGTCGATCCGTACTTTCAATTCCATATAAAGTTATGAGAAATGAATTTTATTTTATTTTGAAAATTAGTTTGTGAAAAATGATTCGACGATTTAATTGTTCTCGATAGTTTTCTACGTTTAAAGAATCAAAGAATTGACCTTGTTTCCAGTTGGAATAGAGCGTACCGATGGATTAGATTCGGGACAATGCACCTGGCACACATTTAGGATGAGGGCACGTGCTCTGATTGTTCTATTCTAAGTTATCGTGATAATAATGTTTTGGTCAGGCGTGTTATGTATCATCTTAAATCGAGACTTTCGACAATGATTGATCTCGATTTAAACGGTTTTGTCATAGATTTCCTCGAACCTCGCTTTCCCTTCTTTTTTTTTTTTCTTTTTTTTTGCAAGCATAGATTTATGATTCGCGGCTCATTTCGATTTCGTGCTAATGTGGTAAAGGGGAAAGGTACGGTATAATTTATGTAGGTATGTAGTCGATAAGACATCTTGCAGAATCATTCTACGAGAAAAAGAGAGAAAAATAAAAACATAAGGAAAATATTCTAATGAAATGGTCTATCATTTTCTAGACGTTATCGCCGATGATAAAATAAACGATCGCCCGTCAAGATTTTGTGGTATTTGTACGAGAGTTCTCTTTTTTCTTTTTTTTCTTTTTTTCCCAGCGGAAATGCATTATTTTCACTACGTTCTCGATAGACTCGTTGATTTTCGATCTTTTGTTAGGGTATGAAAAAGGTTGTTTCGAGAGGAGATATCGTAGAAACGTTATCTTCAATTTTACCGCTTAATCATCATAATACGAACCGCTTTATGGATGGTATATGCGTAACTCAATACATTTTCTTGTAACGATTCGCGATAACTTTCTGAAAATTTAATTATGGTAATAACTCAACTCATCCAATTTAAATAATTCGCATTTATATCCTTATCGAATATATCAGATTAGCATTTAAATTCGACTCGCGTTAAGCTCTATCAGTTTTTCTTTTTCTCGGACCAAAATTTTCAACAATCTTATCATAACACGTATTATCACTTTACCGTGACGGAAGTTCATCGGCATTAATTAATTCTTTCTTCCTACGCGTATTTCAACCACATGGAATGAAGCTTTTTATGGCTCGTATGTTTAATATAAAAATACACGCGCGGGCGTGTATGTGTATTATATATGTATTATATATGTATATATATAATACGTAAAAAAATGAAAAAGAAAGAAAGAACAAAAAAAAGAATGGAAAAGGAGGAAACTTAGCGGCTTTATGGAAAAAGCTTTGTACGGAGTTGAAAGATGATCGTTACAGATGCAGGATTCCGTTTCTCGTTCCCTCTTAGTTATTCGTAAACGAGCTGAGACATGGCACATCCCGCGGCGGACATTTTCAGTCTAGGAAAAAGCAGTACAAGTCGCATTTGCGGTTCACTGTGCACATGATTACATATGAATACATGGCAAGAACAAAACCCTCTTCCATCAGCCGAGACAAAATCCGTCTTTGTATCAATATGAACACTTCTTTATTTATACAACATTCATTCTACAATGAAACCTTGATTATCTGTCATATCTTACACTAGAACTTTCGATGCATCTTCCCTAATAAAAATGTTATATTTATGTAAAAATGCACGTTTATATCGTGTTGCATTGTATGGTAATAATAAGAGAATTTCTTTTAAGTTTATTACAGTAAATACCTTTTTTCCTCTTATCTTATGTTCATTATAAATCGGGATTTCAATTTAAAAGAAGCGACGGTAACGATGGTGAGGCTTAATTGTTAACGGTAATGAAACGTCAATCGTGATTACGTGTTTTCTTGTATATATATGTATATGTGTATATATACGCGCGCGCGTGTGCGTGTACGGGTGTGCCACGTGATCCGCGATTAGGTATTACGAGCCAACGTCGAAGCTTTTCCATTAGGAGATATGGTTCTTAACTGAAATTTACTTCGAAGTTCGCACCCTCGCCATACTCTTAACTCACCGAAAACTTAAGCTGCTTTTAAGCTACTACACTAGTTTCGTTGGATTTATATTTAAGCTTAAATGTATCGTATAAATTTAACTTATTTCGTGTTTATTTATTTATTTAGTTTTTTTATTTTTTATTTTTTTAGAGGAAAGTACAATTCAACATGGAAAAAATGCGAACACAAACGAATATAAAGTTACAAAACGCGATTGGTTTTAAAGTATTATATAAATGCTGTTGAGTAGGTTTATCGCGTATTATAAACTCTTAGACGGAATAACGTATTCGACGATGCTTTGAAATAAGTTCTCTTTTATTTTTCTCTTTGATAAAAATTGAAACAATGTTTCCCACGTACCGACCGAAATAGCGTTATGATAACAGGGAGAGAAACCTCGAATATTTTACACGGTCGTGCTTCTTTTTTCGCGTGCAGTCGTATTTGCATTTATATTTGCAAGTGAACATCGCTGAGATGAAAATCCAGAAAATTGTGACTTTTCCGTGAATTTTACAGAGGTAGATTCCCAGCTAGCGTATCTCCGTTGTATTTTCGACGTATAGGATATATTTATTTATTTTTTTTTTTTTTTCTTTTTTAATCGATAAAAACAATGCCGAAGGCAAAACGTGTGTCCAATATTTCGTTACCGAACTATGACTGACATTGGAAATTGTTCGGGATCAGACCCGAACGATAAGGTGGCTTGTTGTATGGTGATAAGGTCAAAAGAATTTTTTAGATATCTTCATACCCGGTAAATTGATTTTAGACATTGGGTATGTTTTAAAGGGAACCTTTGACGTGTTCTCGTAACAATACGAAAGCTATGCGAATTTCATCCTAAACTTGCATAGCGCTCGTGCCTTTGAGTAGAAAAATTATTATCGTCCCTTTTTATCGTCTCGTCGACGATGCCGACGAGAAATCTTTATCTCGCAGCGACGTACATATATTGTTTAAAAGCACGCATAAGAGTACAAATTTATTTATATTATGCCTCGTGCTTTTTTCTCTCGATTATTATATTTTTTCTCTTTTTTTCTTCCCTTTTTTTTTTTTTTTTTTTTTATTATTATTATTATTATTATTATTATTATTATCGACATCACTGTCAGAGATATTTTTGAAATATCCCTGGTCCCTATGGGTCACATGAACTCTCTTGGCAATTAATTGTTACCGTTTCGTCTATCTATATAGCTTTGTTAGATCTGCTCGCTGGATCGGAGTTTCGATTCGACGGAACAAACGTCGGAATTAATTGTATCAGGTAGCACAAGTTA